TTTAGTTTAAAGCTACTAAACTTCTAAACTACTTTTTTAGTTTATTAATTAAATGTAGCTATATAAGCAAAGAAGGTTATGTTTTATAACATAGATTAATAAAGCTTATAGAACTATAAGTACTTTTTCTAAAAGTTCTTTTACTATCTAATAATATAGCACTTATCTAACACTACTAGACTAACCCTAGTGTAGAACATAGTGTTATTAAACAGTTACTAAAACACTAGGGAGATAGCTTATTCTAAACTAATTAAGATATAGAAGTATTTTTAGTCTCTAATATTGCAAAAGAGACCTAGGTTAGCGTTCTTTGTCTACGCTATAACTAGATAAGGCTTTGCCTTTTTATACTAACTAATTACCTCTAGTTGCTTGTCTTCTAGCTTTAATAATAGTATAATCTAAAAAGTAATATTACTAGTTAGCATAGAATATGTGTGCAGGACAACGCTCTTTTTAAAGCTAGTCTAAGCTACTAATATTATATCTCTAAAGCTATATACAAGTCTGCAGACAGCCCTTACTTACTGCTTATGTAGCTCTTGCCTACCTAACATAGCCTACATAGCTTAAGTAAGCAGAAGTGTTTAGTACTAAACATTAAACTTAACTAAGCACTTAGAGACTAATTCTTATAGTCTTATTAGGCTAAGCAAGTTACAGTTGTTAATTTAATCCTACATAACTGCGTCTAGCCTATATGTAGGAGCAGCGGCTATATTTACATCTAACAGTAGACAAGCAGCAACGCAGAGAAGTATATAACACTGCTTATTTTTTTTATTACATGTATTTTTTCTTTTACTTTTCTTTTTTATCCTAGCTAAAGCTATAGTAGCAAAAGGGACATTAGCTAAATAACTACTAATAAAGTAAACCTAACAGATTGCTTACTACACTAAAGGTTAACGCTTAACATAATTTTTTATAGTTTAAGAACTAGAGGTGTTTTATAGCAGTAACAATATACAGCGCACTAGGTTTAGCATGATAGAACGTAGTAGTTGTAGATGTTCTTAGAGGGGGGGTTCTTAGAGGGGCTTCTGCGCGGCGCGTAAAATTAGGGTATAGACAAGTCTTTTTTTTGCACATGTTTAGATTTTTAATGCTTTTAAGCTATTTAGATTTTATTAAAAATAAGCTTAATTAAAACTTACTATAAATCTATGTATTATATTAAATTTTAAAGGCTGTTAATAATAAACTTATTATACTATTATAAATTACAACATTATATTTAGCTTTTAAAGTAGGTTAATTTATAGAGAAAATTACAAAAGTCCCTTAGACAGCTAAGGAGAGAAACGCTACTAACAGGGGTTAGAAACTGCTAACCCCCCAGGCCATACTCTATTTGGAGTAGCAATATGCATGGTGGTTTGTGCGTCCTCGGTTCTCTCCTCACGTCTGAGCTAGCTGAGATAAAACACTCGACCACATATCGTTTGACTTGCGAAACAGTTTGCGAAGGCGTCGCCATGACAGGCCCACATTAGATTGGCTGTATGAGCACTTTCTTATGTAGCCAGAAACCGGACATTTTCTGACCTTGTCTCCGAGGTAGACTGGCTTCTTGCCATAGTCTTATCTTGGCTAGAGCATGTTCCCAGATAACCTAGAACATGACTGGTGTAAGAACGGAGCTCTGTACCACTGCGCCAATACAACCAAAAGGTGCGAATGATCAACCAACAGTTGATTCTGCGTACAGAATAGTATATATACCTATCGCGCGTAAAGACCGTAGTACAAGCCGCTTTGTAATAAACCTCTTGCTAAAATTAGAGAGGACGTTAACATACTATTTTCTGTCCGAAAGTCCACCTTGTTGTATGCTACGTTAGATGGTAGGTTGTATTAATAAAGGATATGTTTGTAGTTCCCCAGCTCTCTGAGCTCCACTACTGCTGCCTACCTCACTCCTTTACGTATATAGGCCCTTAGACACCCCCCTCTAACTACTGACTAAGTTCCTCATGACTTCCGCGCTCCTTCAAAGGCTTTATAGAACATCCATGGATGTGGGCTATCCCCCGAACGTACCGACAAAGTTATCAAGACTGTCTATCACGTCCAGGGTTCTAAATGCGTACGATATAGATTTGTATAAATATGTGCATCATGTCCCTGATTGTCCCCATCCATTTTATTCAAACCAAGGTGTGTAATCTTCTAGAAATGTGGGAGGTCTGCATGGAGGAGTAGAGGAAGTCGCACTCAGAGTGAAAGTACCAGGGTAGCTCAAACACAGATTTCCTCTTAGGTTCTCTAAAATAGTTATGAGTGCAGGGTTTCGGGGAGAAGTAAAGTAATGGTAGAGGAGCACCACCACACGTTGTAAGCCCCCGAATGTTGCTTATATTCAGATAGTTTATCTGATACAGAAGGATGAGGGAACAAACGCTAGGAGTGGGGGTTTCTGGCTCAATCGCAGCACCGAAAATTGTAACCACACTGACATAAATGGCGTTTAGATCTTTTAATTGTTAAATAGTATTAGGATTAAGCAGACCTTTTCTGTGCTTGAACTAAAACCCGGAGTCTGGACAGTAGAAGTTGGCGTTGAACCTAAAGAAAAGACACTGAAGGGCTGGCCACACTACATAACCAAGGCCCCTCTCGGCACTGACATCAGACTTTACCAGGAATGCCTCGCTTTAGGATGCAATGCTCAAGGATGCCTTCCTTCATCCTCCGTGTCTTTACTCTTGACCGCACGTGCAATCCTGAGAAGCATCGAAATTACCCCATTCGTCGATATCGTCAACCCTGAAGGTTGGTGTGATATTATATGGGAATACGGCTCCCAAGCAATAAATTGTGGAGTCGACTGCAGTTGTGCTTACTGTGCTCAGCTTGATGTCATCCGATACTCACTATCGCAAATGGAAGTTTACCGATGAAAGGCCCACAGAAAACTCCCAATAAGATTCATGCTGTAGCACCGATCGGATACTCATGGCCATAGGAGATCTGAAGATTAGTGAACTGGGGTATAACAGCACGCATATCGATTACTCCACTGACTAGGATATAGAGAAATACGAAGGTGTTTCAACTATGGAACGTTAGCTGCGGAGAGTAGTAATTAGGATTTGATCTCTTACGTGGTCGTGCAACACGCACAAATAGCCTTCGGGGATTGGGGGCAACGATATCACGTGGGAAACTCTCTGCTTTAGTATAAGTAGATGCTTCTTGCTCTCTGAAAGAGACATCCTCCTCAGCAATATCACCAACTTGCGACTTTGAATTTGAATCAAACAGACTTCGCTTCCAACATCTTCAGAATGAAGCTCACCCTCGCTATCATTACCGCGCTCTTCGCCGGCACTTTCGCTGCTCCGGCTGCGGAAGAAGTAAAGAACATCGAGCCCCGTTGCCTCGGAAAAGGAGGTAAGTTCTTAGCCAGAAGTTCCCGGGTGATGTGGTGCTAATTTGATACCGTAGTGGACTGTTTCTACAACATGAACGATTGCTGCAGCGGCGGCTGCTTCCCGGATCACGGCACTGGCTCATATACATGTGCCTAGTGGCAGCACGATAAGCGTACGCACAAAACTCAATACTCAGAGGGACAAGGGCCTCGACGGAGCGGTCGTTAAGTTCGCCTGACTTTTGATGAATATTGATCAAGGGAAGCACCCCCAGCATTTGTGTAGATATGTAGCCTAAATGGTATGAGACATTATTTACAGCTAATCAAGAATTGGGATATATTTCTCATGAATTCCTATCTCCTCAAAATCAAAAGTGCTGGTATTGAACTGTTCTGTCGTAGATATTTCTACCTCCTAAGGCCTTTCTTATGTTGGCCCACCCTTCCCTTTCGTTCAACTTCCCGCTGCGCTTTCTCATCTCTGAAGTTTGACTTAACCGGTCATAGCAGGTCTGTTATAAGATAAATCCCGGTCCTCTAGAAAATTGAATTGAGCCATAAGCACGGTAATACCCACCCGCAACAATGTAAACTTGGAGAACTTCAGATTTGCGGCTCGCGCTTTCGTCAACGTCCAGTGTTAGTTTCTGGCAGGGTTTCCCTTTGTTGCTCAATAAGTGAGGTGGGCAGAGTGGTGAAACGGCCAGTGATCAGTGAATGTTAAGAACGCCTTCTCTTGGAACGGTGCGCTAAAATGTCGAGATTCGTCCGAGGTGGCCTAGACTATGGTGCAGAGAGACTTGATACTATGTCAAAACTACCCACAATCAACAGGTAGCATCTTGAATGATAGATACAGCAATACCAATAGCCATGATTTCAGGAGCCATAACTGCTTTTTGGTCGATAGTAAGGCGATGTCTTTTAATGAAGATGTAGTAAGGTGAGATAAACTATTAACTTGCTGGGCTGTGGATGATAAGGTGGTCTCAACTCGTGTGTTTACTGGAGAACATGCACTGCAGCTGCAAAAAATTCGGGGACGTTAGCTTGAAACCTTTTTATGTGGATTAGGTGTTTCTTGGTCTTGGAGTGGACTGATCGTAAACCTTCATACGCTCTTAACATTCTCTTATAACTCTCCTCATTTCTAATCTAGAAATTTCTGATAAGTTTACGATGGAAGCTTCATAGCGGATATAGATTGTATGAAATTTGTGTAAACTGATGGAGCTGTAACTCATGCACGGAGAGCGCTGAAGGATAGTGTAGAACGTACGATCGCGGTACGAGGTTATCCATGGATTTCAGAAGGTGAATTGGAACCTAACAGATATAAGCCATACATTAATAACATTGAGTGGGATTTAGTTTGAAAACTAAGAGATTCTTCATTGTACCTTATCTACTTACTTAAGTACATCTTTGACTTTCCCGTCGGCTTCCCCAATCCCTTCCCCGACGGGAAACCCCACCAAGTGTTCCTAAGTGTCATTGGGCCTCGATGTCGTTTGCCGAAGAATATAGGTCTGGATACGGGCACAATGTCCGATCCACTGGTACAATTATTGCAGATTCACAACGCCATTCCGCTTCTTTTCTTGCTACCGAAGTCAGCATGGCAGACCTCTACCACTCCATTGATGAGTCTCAACTGAGAGCCGAGGCATCCTCATGTCTCCTAACCTATGGGTCCAAATTTCACCCTAACATTATATCCCGTGCAAAGGGCGTGTACATCTACACTGCTTCCGGACACCGCATACTAGACTGGACATCTGGCCAAATGTCCTGTCTAATCGGCCATGGAAATCCGGAAATAGTTGAAGTCATCACAAACCACGCCGCAAACCTTGACCATCTGTTCAGTGGCATGTTGTCGCCACCTGTAATCTCTCTGGCCAAAAGGTTGATAGATTTAACGCCGAGAGGATTAGATAAAACCTTTTTCTTGAGCACCGGAGGAGAGAGCAACGAAGCTGCGATTCGGCTTGCAAAGTTTTATACTGGTAAATTCGAGATTGTTGGATTAAGCTCTAGTTGGCATGGAATGGTGGGCGCGGCCAATGGTGCGCAATATCATTCAGGCCGCGCTGGATATGGCCCAGTGGTAAGCTATCCTAAGGTCAAGTGCTGAGTGGGCTTTATTTACTGATGGCTCCAAAGCTCCCCGGAAACTTCTGCCTCCCGGCTCCAAACGCCTACAGATCGATTTTTCGGCATCCCAACGGATCGCACGACTGGCGCACAGAATTGGATTACGGATTCTCACTCATAGATCGCCAGTCCTGCGGCTCCCTTGCAGCAGTTATTGCTGAGCCAATCCTGTCTTCAGCCGGTATGCATCCATTACCTGCTGGATATCTCAAAGCTCTTAAAGAACATTGCGACCAACGAGGGATGCTTCTCATATGTGATGAGGCCCAGACCGCTATTGGGAGGGCTGGCGATATGTTTGCGTTTCAGCACCATGATGATGGCGTGATTCCGGATATTCTTACTCTGAGCAAAACGCTTGGCAACGGACTACCACTCAGTGCAGTGATCACAAGCGATAGCATTGCCCGATTTGCGAAGGAGAACAACTTCACTTTCTATACAACTCATATCAATGATCCGATTCCAGCTTCGGTTGGCGATAAGGTGTTGGAGATAGTCGTTCGTGATGGCTTGGTACAAAGATCGCGCGAACTGGGCAAAATCCTGCAAGCCGGGTTTCGGCACCTTCAGCAGCGCTATGGATGTATCGGAGATGTGCGCGGTAGAGGTTTGATGGCTGGTGTAGAGATAGTCACTGACCGTATAACAAAAGAGCCTGGGTTGGAGCTCGGGGATCGAATTGGCAAAAGAATGGCAGAACTGGGGTTGTGGGCGCAGCTTGGAACTATGCAAAGCTTCTCGGGTGTTTTCAGAATTGCACCGCCAATTACGATTTCCCTGAAGGAGCTGGAAGAAGGGCTGGCGATCATGGAGAAGGCATTCTCAACGGTGGCCGGAACGATGCCCTTATATCAACAGGACTTTGGAGGCCGAGTGGGGGCCAACCTCTAAGATGTGAAGTTCGTTGTCGTGGAATTTCGAATGATAGGTTTTCAAGTCTTGCTTAAAGCGGGTAAAAGTCAATATGGCGAAACAAGCTGACATGCTTGTTCGAGTTCTACATATTCTCCATGCTGTTATTCACATCCACGGTGAATTTTGGAATTCCATTTTAATCCTGGAAACACGGATGTACTCGAAGTCGCCTTTTGTATTAAGTAAATTATTAAAAATGTGAGATGATCATACCAACAGCTCATATCATGCCATCACTCTTAAATTGAGAAGTTTGGCATAGCCGACGGCGTGTCCCAGAGTGCTTCCCATGAGAAGTCGAAAGCATTTGGGTCTCGACGGTCTGAGAACAAGAACGACGGATCGTCCAAAGCCGTCGCAAGTTCGCCACTTCCATTTTCATTGATATTGGGTTGCGCCTCTGGAGGAGGATGAGTTTCTTGTGCGAGTAGTGATGAGATCTTGTTTATGGGATCCGAGCACCTCTCTAGGCAATAGTTCGCGACGTCCCAGTCGTAGTTGTCATGCGCAGACTGAATATGTGCGAGGAAGCGCTCAAGTCGTAGAATCGACGCGCTTCTGATTTCATTATTTGGAGCTTCGACTAGGCATCGTAAATCGACCATAGTAGCGAGGACGAGAAGGTGAGCAGCATATGGCAACCAAAAGTCCTGGAATTGGCTTTCTCCGAGAAACAAAATAAAATCAAGCAGAGCGGCCGAAGACGCGCGCAATTCATCGAGGCGAGCGCATTTTGATTGGGCGTTGCCTATCAACACAGCTGCACGTAGTGCTACGCGGTTGAGCAGAAGTCTCATAGAAAGGAAGCAAAACCATAGATTGCTGGTGCCCGCCAGGCTTGGTAGAGGAAGCCATTCTGGTAGTTGCGATTCAAGATTGTTGAGGCGAATTCCTAACTGCTCTACAGCCCGCTCGAGTTCCTCTGGATTGGGTCCAATATGATAAACTAAAGGCAAGATATCTCCAAGAAGCTCTGTGAGTGAGCAAAGATGGATAAAGCAAGTAGATGCATATTTCTGGGCCATGGTTGCCTTTGACGATAGTAGAGAGTCGGAAACAGGCATCGGAACGTCATAGAAGCCTTTAGCGACGTGAGGCGGCGTACCATAGGCAATACTGGCCCAGTAGTCGGTAATGAGTACACCCCACCATAGCCTTATCCGCATTGACTTCTCATCCTCAGAAACCTTCCACTTTGAAGGATCCCGATGAAGGCCGAGAGTATGAGCAAGTCCCACAGTGCGTCCACAAAGCGTAATGTTCCCAACAATAGATATCGAGGGACGACCAACCAGGTCAAGTACTGCGGCAGATACCGTTGCTAGACTTGGACTCAAGAAGTCCTCAAGGACAGCATTTATAGCTTTGTTCCACACATAGTGAGGATCGGGTTTTGGATGCATTTTCAGGATGTCCGATTTCCTCCAATTTGGGGAGGCAATCGCGTAGACTACGCATAGGAGAGATTTCGATATCTTCTCGGTCGAGCCTTCCCGCAGTATGGAGGATGTTTCGTCATCCAAAATCGGAAAATGGCAATGGACGTAGGAGAAGAAAAGCTGCAGTACTTCGTACTTGAACGGCCCAAATATCTGCTCTAGTATCTCAACTTGCTCCTCCCCAATGGAATTGGTTGGTCTGAGCCCTCTTCTATTTCGGGGCACAGAGAGGTAGATGATGGGGTTTAAGGCATCATGAGACACGGTTTGGTAGAGCTCTGATGTCCCTTCATCAGAGGGTTTATGCTGGGATATATGCCGCTGAAGAATATCGATATCTTCTGCAACAGCAGGACCTAACATGATCGACGACTGATCGGTCGTACTGACGGAATTTTTTGGCAGAGATGGTGCAGATTGCGAACTGGTGGTTTTCTTCGTTGCAGTATCGTCATTGCTGAGTCGTGGTTTCTTTAGAGGTCGTCCATTTCCATTCATTTCGTTGAGATCGGTAGTGGATATAGAATCTCCATATTGGCATTTTAACCGTCGTTCGCGGCAGGAAAGACATGGTTCGTTGGGAATGTCGATATGACAGCGGATCTTCCGCGATCGGCAACGCGTACAGGCCGGGACTCGGTGGGAACGGTAGGGCCGATTGTGAATAGACGTGTTGTTTGACATCTCAAAGCAGGAAGAGTATATTCATTTCGATGGTGGAGATGATTGACGTGCAATGGGCGAGGTGTGAGATAGGTAGGTCGGAGGTGCAACGGATGCTAACTAAATGAGGAATGGCGTGCCATTTAGCTTAACAGTCCATGAGAGGAGAAGTGAAAGATTGAAGCGATTGGGGGAGTTTAATTTCCACCACAAAGCCCTGCTTTCTGGGCGTGGCTCTGAAACGGTATGTTGGAACCAATTCTTTAGACGAAGTTTGCACTGTTAGGTCAGGAAATTATCCCAACCTTTCACCCCCAAGCTGTTTAATAAGAGGTGCAGATCCCAGAGAATGAGTAACAACTCAGAACCACCCCTAGTCATTTTTATCCCTCCAAAGGGTATCATTCCCCTGCCGCCTTCACTCCACTAAGCCTGACCACTCTCCCTGGTCCAAATGAACCACCCCCGCCCGACCCCATAGTATCCTTCCTCCAACCCATAACCTCATCGCTCGACCTCCCAACAATAACATTCCAAAAGTTTGGCCATCCCGCCTTCACAGCACTTCCTGCCCTCCTCGCACCCGTGATAGCAAATCTCTTCTGTTTATGACTGATAAAGCCGTTCATGAAACCCTGAGAGATCAGGCTAGAGGCTATACTCTCCATTTCAAGAATATCTGGAAGTAGGAACTCTGGCTTGAGGTCTAGGCCGTCGAAGTCTGGGTCAACGTATCCCGCGGAGGAAGGAGGCGTATTCTCTTGGAATATGAAGCTGATGTGGCGTTTTCCAGGACCAGCGTCAGCTTGAGCCATTGATTCCGACATTAGCGCCCGTTTCTCATAAAAGTAAAACGCGGCAAGTACTTTCCACAAGTCTAAAGTTGGTGCTGAACGCTCGCTCGCACCTGTTTCGCCAAAGTGTATAAATACCTTGCGGAACAGGGTGCGCCAGACCTGAACTTCGCAGTAATTCTCAATCTGATAAAAGATGCGGAAATGGAGAAACCATGGTGCGTACTCGTGGTTGAGGCTTGTGAGGCGTCGGAAGTTTTCTAGGTCACCTTTGCGGATGGCTCGGGTAATGGGTTCGAAGCGCTTGCGAAGTCCGGCGGCTTCGATGCGTGAATATGTTTCTTCACTGGGAAAGCGGCCAAGAATTAGGTTGGCAGTGATGAGATATATGAGGATTAGGCGACGTTGATGCTGGAATTGCGGTGATCGATTACAATCATCATATGCTTTCTGTAGAGCAAGCTGTGCGGGAAAAAATGCATCTTTGGAAAAATGGTAGCGACCTAGGTAGTATAGATACGTGACGCGATCTGAGGCTGGGTATATTGACAGAGGAGGCGAAGAATTGAAAATGTTGTTGAATATTTGCTGACAGTTGTCGAGTTTATCGCATTGGAATAGGATCTTGAGACACAGATTTGCCATTCTATAAATGCCGATCTTTTTGCCGTCGGGCCTGTTATTCTTGACGCCACCGGGAACTGTATAACGGTCATTGAGGCAGGTACTGAAGGCTTGACGGATAACGTTTGCTGCCTTCTCTGGAAGCGTCTCCGATTGCCCTTCTTCGGACAATGAACTTGAAACCAAATGGGCGATCAACTCGGGATGCTTGTCTAGACCAATTGCGACGCGTGCGAAAACCTTAGCGTATCCGATCAACGTGGGCAGGATGAGTATTCCTTTTGTAGGATGTAAGAGAGCACTATTAGTTCTTGTTTGTAACTCATTCAACCGCTCGTACGTCTTCAGCAAATCGCTCGGATCCACATCTCTCAAAAACAACAACCAACATGAGAGAAACGACACCATGCTACCCCAGCTCGGCACAATACCACCAAGGTCATCTCCATCTCCAGGCTCTTCTTCATGAGTCTCTGTTACGAACCCTTTGACTATAGGTTGAAGCTTGTCCTCTGCATCCGTGTGGGATCCTGGATAGCGCTGTCGAATTTCGCTAATGAGCTGTGTGTAGACTTGATCGAAAGGGGGCTCGATAACCAGAATACTTTGTAGGCGAATACTTTCATGCCTCTTCAATGTAGTGTTGATCTCGACTAGGACTTTCTTTATCCATTCCCCCGACATGTCGCCCCGTTTGCGAAGCAGCGTTTACGACATACACCGTCGATGCTGCAACCCTGGATATATCTCTTTTCGTATGGGGCCTTAGTGATATCCTTGGTGGGTCTGAAGTTGCTCTAAGATCCTAGCTTTAGTGTATATATCGCGGGGTTCGAATGCCGTTGAGGTTGGTGTGAGCCTTTGACGCGAGGTTGGGCTTTGACCTTAGGACCTTAGCGATTGAAGGCCCGCGCTCACTTCGCCTGGGATCGCCGCACGTGCCCCAGTCTTTCATGAAGCCCTCCAGAGCTTTGATCACCTCAGATCGAGATGGCTTGTATTGCACCCAAAGCAAGTGCAACGCAGGCCATCGAGCAAGAAGGTCATTACATGCTACCGGGTCCTCAAAAATTCCTAGTTTTCGACCTTGGTCTAACCCCTGCAACTTCGACAATTTTCACATGTCAAACTGTCAAGCTATCAACACTATGACATCACTATGGGTAATCTTCAAACCCACATATTCGAACGCCTAGGCTCCTTCTACCAAGATTCTGTCTGATACTACATAGCTTGCTGCTCTTCCATTTTGATCACCAAACCATTTCAATTCCTCTCCTCAAGTCTCGCCCATCAATCGCTACAATATTCCATAGCACTTGCACAGATGGGTTTTCAATCCACACTGCAAACTCTCATTTCCCATCCAATTTTCTTCCTGTACCAAATTCTGCAATGGGTCCTAGATTGCTTGCTGTCTCCCACGCCCCACCTCCGCACGCTAATCTCTCTCGACCCAGGATTGCAATTCTCGGTGCAGGTCTCACAGGAGTATTTGCTGCTTCTCATTGGGTAGTCCATAACTTGATTGCCGGATCTTCGAAGCCGGGGCTGGAAAAAATCTGGGCAGGATATGGAGTAGGTCTTAAGACTCTCATTCATACAGCATGCTATCACTTAACTTGAACAAGACTAGAATGGAGTCTATCTGTTTAGTTTCTTTCTTAATTATCCCTGTTATGTTCTATGCTAGCTGGAAAGATGCAGGTATACGATCTATTGCTGATGCAATGATATAGAAAGTCAACAACACATCCGGTCTCCAAATCCACTCGCTAATGTACCGCTTCCATCCTCCCGTAAAATAGAATAACGACTACCCCTCCCGCCATCAAATCGTGCCATAAATAACTGAACTCTGGGAACGCTACAGTCTAGAATTAAAAACGCACTTCAATACGCGCATTGAGAAAGTCTACCACAATCAGTACGGTCGTTGGATCATTAACGATCCTTCTAATTGCCGCTTCGACGGTGACATTGCTGCCATTAGTACCTGTGGCGATCCTAAGATACTCACGATTCTAGGACAGGAGAACTTCAAGGGGGAGATATACCATTCCAGTCATTTGGACGGCAAAACGGCAAAGGGCAAGAACGTTGCGATTATTGGTGGCGGTGCCTCCGCCGTTGAAGCACTGGAATTTCGTGACTGAGGAAGCCGAACATACGAATGTCCTCACGCTCCGAAAAGTGGATTATTCCTCGCAACCCGCTTATAGACATATTGTTGCCTATGAATATTCTAGGCTCCAAGACAGTATTCTCGTGGATCCCTGAAAATATTCTCTGTTTGTTTCTCTACCGCGATCTTTACGACATCTCGCCGCCCAAGAATAGTAGGAAGGGCGTCTTCACAGAAACGTCCATGGTAAATGACGACGTTTTTGACCTCGTTCGCAGCGGTAAGGAATCCTGGCTCCGTGGCGACATCCTTGAGTTTGACTCCTCCGGCACCGGAATCTTGTTCAAGAAGCGTGCTCAAGGAGAACCTGGGGACGGCCCGGGGTTGAGAAGCTCATTGAAGCAGACATCGTGATCCTTGCTACCGGTTACAAACGCCCTACTCTTTCTTTCCTCCCTGATGGCTGCTTTCAAGAGCCGTACGAACCGCCAAATTGGTACCTACAAGTATTCCCGCCTGAACACCCTGAGATCTGTTGTAACAATTGCACGTATGTGGACGCTATTGGCACAGTCGGCAATTGCCACATCGGTATCTATACCCGCTTCCTACTGATGTATCTCGTGGACCCTCTGGCTTGTCCTCGTACTTACTGGATGAAGAAGTGGATTAATATGACAGGGTTCATCAAAGCTTAAGCACCTGTGGGAGCATTTGACTTCTTCACGTACTCGGAGCTGATATATTGGTTCGTGTTTAGAATTGTGATAAATCCTTTCCGGTGGAAGTCGGCATTGTTCGTCCTGTTTGGCGTTGGGAAGAACCTGCCATTGGTAGTAGTGCAGAGAGAGGATAAAGTAAGGAATGGATTGGAGGTGAAGGGGTGGATGAATCACGAGGAGAGTAGGTGGATGGGTAGTAGGAGACAGAGGGGACGAGAATGAGTGTCGTTGGTAGAGGCATGGCGGAAGACGCCGTAGCGAGAAATTGGGAGTTGGTATGGTGGATATGAAGAGACATTGAAATCTCACGTAACTCTCGTTTGTCAGAGTTCAAAGTTAATCTTAGGGTATCGCGACTTTATTCGTCGTGACGTATCTACGATTTCGGCTCAATTTTGATATGCGCACTACTTCGATATGCACCAGGGCCCGTGTATTACAAGCAACGCACCTGAAGCTAACAAAATTTAGATTTCTTCATCAGCATCGACATCAAAGTCGTCCAAGAAATTAAAAGTCTTGGGCTTTTCCTCTGGTGACTGTTGAGGAGGCCGAGGAGCACTTGGAGCTAGAGCTGAAGCACCGGAGCTTTCTTCCTGCCTGAGCTTCTCATACGCATTCTGCTTCTCTTCGGCTTGCTTCTTCACCAGGACCGCCTCTTCCTGTTTCCTTTTATCCTCAGCTTCTTGTTCTGCAGGCAGTAGGCGCGTCGTCGGATCTAGACCACGGTCTACCATATGCTGGATGGCCATCAAACCACCGGCCCGAATCTTTTCGTGACTTGGCCACGGTACCCACTGGACGCCGCTTTCATGAAGTCTTGTGAGCCATTCGGCTTGTTCGGCAGTGACTTGTTTGTGCTCTTCCCCGCTTACGGTTGTGTCTTTAGCTGCCTGGTCTGTGGGCACGAGATTGCCTGCTTTTATGGGGCTGCCTAAGCCATTAGAAGGGACGCTCCCGGAGGCTGTCTCTTCCTTATCCTTTTCTTTCTCCACGTCTGAGTCTCCCTTGGGAATTGGCTCACGGTAGGTTGGAGGAACAGTATATCGGGAGATATTCCTCGCATAGCGGAGCAGCTCGCCAAAGGGCACAGGCTTTGAGGATTCGGGGACAGTGGTAGCGGGGGTATCCAAGAGCCCACAGCGGAGGTCAGCGAGGGTAGATATTGATGTCTTGAGCTGGGCTTCGAGGGTATCGACTTCGTTGCGCAGGGAGAGGATGCGGGCGTGGTTGACTTGGTGGTGTGCGACTGCCGGACAAGCAAATTAGGCAATTGCTAGGACTGAAGAGGGAAGGAGCTACACATACGTTGCTCGAGCCCCTTGCCGAGCTCGTCATCGGCTGCGACAAGGTCGACTGCTGCCTGGAGATTCGGGTTGTAGGAGGCAATGGAGTCGACGAGGGTGCTCAATGCAGCTTCCACACGCTGGAACTGCGCCTGCAGAACAATATCCATGTTTACGGCGTGATATCTTTTAGAGCCTTTGGGGAGAGCAACTCGAGGTGGTGCGGAGACTGCCCGCGGTGAAGTACAGAGAAGGTTGCAAACAAGCTCTGGTTCGGTGTGGCAATCTAAAGCAAGCTTCGCGGCACGTGACCGACATCGGCAGCACTTGGCACGGGAAGGATTACCAGAATCCAGTGCGCGCAGGGCCGAGGCAGCTGAAAAGTTTGTGTTGGCAACGCCAGTGGATGCCCTACGGCCTGAAGGATTGCCCAGATGCGTAGGGCTAGAGTGTCTGCAGCTCTCCAGCGCCAGCGGGATGGTGGTGGATGGCCAGCTTCACTCAGGATTGGGCTCGGAGCGAGGGCGGTCATGCAGTGAATGTTTGCGTCGCGTGCAGCCCCTCCCCACCCCGTTCGACGGCGAACAGCGAGGCCTGGCCGGCCACTCAGTGTCGTAACTGGGCCGGCGGGCACGAGCGGGATGATGCTTCGATGCGCCCGGGGATGCTAGGCTGCCGCTATATTTGTCGCAAGCAGCCGAGCTGTCGCCATGTCTTTAGCCCTGAAACCGCTCCGCAGCTTCCTTCTTCATCGCATAGTCTATCCTCAGTCTATTGCCTGAGACTGCCCATCAGATTTCCTCATCCGCCTGTCCATTCTCGCAGACCGCGCCGCCAACCGCTGCACTCGTCCTGGTAATCTGTTCCTCTGCGAAAGGCTGCTGCGCCTCGCCCTCAGCTCTCAACCCCACCATAAGTCCTTCGCAACCCCTCCGCCACACCTTGTCTCGACTTTCACTCTTCCTCCGTCGATCGCACCGCGCTGCATCTTCACCACCACTGTTGCCCCCCGCCGCTCTGCATTTTCGCCGACTGCATCAGACATCAAAGTTCCGCACACTGCGCGCTTATCGCTGCCGGTAAACAAACGCACGAGCCATGGGTAAATCGTAAGTTCTCTTCACTTTTCTCACCACCACCGCCACTCGTGCGCTCTCTCGCCGTGGATCCCAACATGGACAGCGGCATCCATCCGGTCGGCGGCGGGCCATATCCTGGAGAAGATTCAGGTATTTACCCATATCCCGGCTGCCGTGGCCTCAATGGTCTAGAATCAGGCTTCTGCTACACATGGCTATCCACGATCCTCCACGGCCCTGTCCCGGCTGAGTCGTTCATTCCTACCTCGGTCACGTTGCAGGACTTTACCGAAACCGATATCTTCCCGTATATCCCACTTGGAGACCTGGATAGTGCCATACTCGCGCACCATCACTTTCCGTTGAACTTCGGACGCGAACGTCATCTACCTATACCCCGCAACGGAAGTTCGGGTCACAACCGTTACCGCGAACTTTAGAAGATTATTGTGTTGGACAGATTTAGACACCGTGCGCGGGAACTATTCTTGCGGGGTTCCTGTGCTTTATGTTGCTCTGGAAGGTGGATAGCTGATTCTGACTTTTAATGACAGCCAGAGCAAGCTGTCCCAACAGGAGCTTGCGGATCTGCAGAAAGCCACTCACTTCGACAAGAAAGAATTGCAGCAATGGTACAAAGGTAGGAAATATGAACCACACACGCACGAGCTTCCACTGACCCTCCCCAGGCTTTTTGAAGGACTGCCCGTCTGGTATGCTCACCAAAGAGGAATTCCAGAAGATCTACAAGCAATTCTTCCCGTTCGGCGACCCTTCCTCCTTTGCAGACTACGTCTTCAACGTTTTCGATGCGGATAAATCTGGGACTATCGATTTCAAGGAATTCATCTGCGCTCTCAGCGTCACTAGCCGCGGCAAGATGGAGGACAAGCTCGACTGGGCATTCCAACTGTACGACATCGACGGCGATGGAAAGATCAGCTATGAGGAGATGTTGGCAATCGTCGAGGCGATATACAAAATGGTACGTCTAGAAGGCGTTGGCGATGACGCCATCAGCTGACCAGCCTAGGTTGGATCCATGGTAAAGCTTCCCGAGGATGAAGACACGCCCGAGAAGCGCGTACGCAAGATCTTCCGGATGATGGACAAGGACGAGAATGGAAGCCTGGACATGGCCGAGTTCAAGGAGGGCTCCAAGCGCGACGAGACGATTGTGTCGGCCCTGTCTCTCTACGACGGGCTGGTCTAGACGATATCTCTGCTCATCTCTTCGGCCGGTGTTCTCGGGTTCTTGTTTGATATCAACAGTGCATTCAAAGGGTTTTCTTTAGCATGCGGAAGGGTGCATGCCTGCGGGGAAACATCACTCACGATGTAAATATGATTGGACGATGGTGCTTCAGTGGTGCAATGATTGAATAATCAAACCCACGTCTCTGGATGCAATTGACCACGCGTGCATGTGATTTGCTGGGAGGGTACGGAAGGATGAAGGATTCGGGGTCGAGAAACACGAGATGACATAATCAGCTTGGCGGTGGCTTGGTTACGAGGCGCATTCAGACCATGAGAGCTAGGGACAGCTTTCACTGAACAACATTTCTTCCGCAGCCTCGTCCGCTGTTGAAACAAGCCGTGCCGCCGCAAAACATTGTTGCACCTAGTCCCTGCGACAGCCTCTATCATCTCATCTCCTGGCCCAGCCTGTATCCTCATCCAAGCCCCCAAGGGCGATCTGTACGTTGCCTGCCCGCCTCTCTCCTGGACAGCTTGTGAGCTGACGTACTTCACCACATCACAGCGCCCTCTGCTATTATATTCCTCCCCTCTCACCATCCATACTCTTCAGTCCTTTCACGATGCGGACCGTTGACATGCCCTCTTCCGGCGCCGTCCTGGCCTTGCTCCTCGCCCTCGCCCCCTCCACTTCAGCATTCTACTTCCCTGGTGTCGCGCCCACGTCCTACAAGCCTGGCGAGACAGTGCCGCTATATGTCAACCACCTGACGCCTGCCGACTCCCAGAACGACCCTAAGCTACGCTCCGTATTCTCTTTCGACTACTATCATCCGCCTTTTCACTTTTGCCCTCCAGAAGAGGGACCCCGGTATATTCGGGAAAGCCTAGGGAGCATATTGTTCGGAGACCGCATACAGACGAGCCCGTTTCAGCTTAAGATGATCAAGAATGAGACTTGTAAAGCCGTATGTAGGGAGCAGACGTTCTCGAATCGGGATGCCGTGTTCGTGAACAACAGAATATACCAGGGCTACGACCTCAACTGGTTAGTCGACGGATTGCCAGCAGCACAGCTTCTCAAAGACCCTGACTCGGACCAGCCCTTTTACAGCCCCGGGTTTGCGCTCGGTCGGGTCGACGGCAATACAGCCGTGTTGAACAACCACTACAATATCGTAATCGACTACCATGAGGCTTCCAAGGACAACTACCGCGTTGTTGGTGTGCTCGTGGAACCATATTCTATGAAAGACTCAAAATTCGTCGATGTTGGGCGGGCGGAATGTGGCTCTGCGGAAAATCCGGCCGTGTTAGCTGAAGATGAAGACACGACCTTGACGTATACCTATAGCGTGTATTGGATAAAGTCTCCTACTCCATTTGCGACCCGCTGGGACAAATATCTCCATGTCTACGACCCAAAAATTCACTGGTTCTCCCTGGTGAACTCCGCGGTTATCGTAACCTTTCTGATTGGCATGGTCAGCACCATCCTCGTGAAGACTCTCAGGAAAGACATTGCGAGATACAACCGCCTTGACCAGTTTGCGCTCGAAGACTTTGGCGCGAATGGATCCGCCGAGGATGGTGTTGCGGAGGATTCTGGATGGAAACTTGTTCATGGTGATGTCTTTCGACCTCCAAAGAACCCCCTGTTCCTCTCCATCATGCTTGGCAATGGTGCCCAGATCTTCATGATGGCAGGCTTGACAATTGGTGAGTGGCGGCCTCTTCAGAGTCTGGCGTCTGACTGACCTTGATGCAGCATTCGCTCTTCTTGGATTCCTGTCTCCAAGCAGCCGTGGCGCCCTCTCCACTGTTATCATCATCTTCTACATGATCTTCGGCTTCATCGGCGGGTACGTCTCTTCGCGGGTGTACAAGTTCTTCCACGGCGAGTCGTGGAAACTTTGCTTCTTCTACACACCAGTCGCTCTCCCCGGCCTTGTCTTTGCGTCCTTCTTCTTGCTCAACCTTTTCGTTTGGGGCAGAGGCGCTTCCGGGGCCGTCCCCTTCACGACTATGCTAATTCTTGTCATCATTTGGTTCATCATTAGCGTGCCCCTCAGCCTCGCGGGATCCTGGGTCGGCTTCAAGCAGCCTGTTATTGACACCCCAACCCGCACGAACCAGATTCCGCGCCAAATCCCTCCTGCTGGCGGCTATCTTCGCCCGCTACCCTCCATGGCTCTCGCTGGTGTACTCCCATTCGGTGCCATCTTTGTCGAGCTCTACTTCATTATGAACTCAATCTGGTTCTCGAAAGTCTACTACATGTTCGGTTTCCTCTTTATCTGCTATGGCCTCATGATCATGACGAGTGCAGCGGTGACTGTGCTGATGATTTATTTCCTGCTCTGTGCGGAGAACTATCATTGGCAGTGGAGGAGCTTCTGCACGGCAGGTGCCAGCGCGTTCTACGTCTTTGCAAGCGCCCTACTGTACTGGGTGAAAGATGTCAGCTTTGGCAGCTGGACGTCGGGAGTGCTGTATCTTGGTTACAGCTTGCTTTTGAGTTTGTTGTTCTTTGTATTGACTGGTAGGTCCTCACCCTCGTTGCAGGCATGCTGAACTTTTGTGTATGGAATGCCCACTAACGACTTTTGCCCAGGCACGATTGGCTTCTTTGCAAGCTGGATGTTCGTCATCAAAATCTACAGGTCCATCAAAGTGGATTAGAAAAAAGGTGAAATATCCCGTCGTTATCATTACCCCTGCGGGAGTAAATGGGTTTTTTTTTCACTTTTAGAGCGCAAAGTGAAGACTCGTTTTGGCCATGCATGTATACTCAAAACTATATCTTAGGGAGTTTGTATATGATAGATTGCGCTTTCCCAGCTGCACTTTATCGGATGGCGTTGGTTTGATTGTCCAGACGAGGGTGAATGGAATAGGACTTCGGAATCATATTCTTAACGCATGGCGGGATATTGGGTGTTAGTTTTGGAATCAGGTCGGGTTAGTGTTTGTATAAATGCATACTTATCCTGTCTATTTGCTCTTTAGGTGCGAATTTAACGCTCACGAGCTCACCCATGCCCGAACTGAAGTTTCAAAGCGGCTCCCTTTGGTTTCTAGAGTCTACCTAGAGTAACCAAAAATATCGCAGCAACCCTAGACTCAAACTACGAGAACTACAGGTTTACTCCCCTTCTTCCCGAATATACGTCGCTTGTCTGGACTCTTCCGAGACTCAAGAACGCTCGGGTTCAAGCTCCCCAATCGTATAATTGCCCTCGCCGACAACCTCTCCAACAAGCGCCTCGTCATCTACCGCCATTTCGACTCCTTCTCCGCTCTTTGTCCGCTTTATGTCTTATTCTAGCAAGTGGGTCGACAGATAAACTCTACTCTAACTATGTTCTACGTTAGGTGAGAGGGTATTACAGTTCGTTGAATTCCAAAGACTGGGTATATAGAGCGCTTTCAACAAGGCGTAACACTATATGATTTAGGCCTGTACAGGTAAGATTTCGTGTACGTTCGTATGGCTGTGAGGATGAGAGTCAGGTGTACGTATGGTAACTGTTACAGCCCACATGGTCTGTACGGATAGTAGAGTTTGGATTGAAGTACGCTGTACTTTAGTCAAAACAGCTAAGACTATAGGGTAGATTACCTTGTCTTTTTTCACTAGAAGCGTTAAATCCGCGCTATAAGACCACATCTTGAATGGCGTACAATTGCCTTACAATGTAGTCTTGTTCATTACTTAGAAACCTAATTACGCCAAGGGGAGCACCTGTTTCTAATATAGAAGTTTTATATTATTCTATTTAATTGAAGACTTCAGGTTGGAGTTACAATTGCGATTGTCTAGGAACTACTGCGATAAATCTTTCGCTACGGAAGGTATACTGTCGCGGTGTAGCAGGCTCCCGACTTCTGCAGTCTACAATACTGCGCGCCATAGACGACGGAGGAATCTAATCGACTATATGAGATCTGCGAAGCAGCAAGGCGCGTAGATGGATAATCTGCAATTCAAAATGGTTGGTGACGGACCCCTAAACACTCCCTGCCTGCCTACTACTCGCTGGAGCCCTTCTACTCCTCTAGAATCTCTATACAAAGTTCTTAGAAGGGTGATACCATCCGCGCTACGTACCGTTCCTAGGGGGTCATTAAACGTACAGTGTGGCTCACTAACAGAGTACGTTCGTACTGAACACGTGACTGTTGCGGTTCACTTTTTACGGACCGTAGTACGCTTCGATGGAAACGCTGGGCACACTTTCGGGCGCTAGTGCCATTCTTTGCCACGTGGGCCGTCTGCGTGCAAAGAGACTTTCCGCCTGCTGCTCTGCATTCACTGCTTTCTTATCTACACATTATTAGGCAAAGTGCAGCAGTCTCCATGGCAAACGCTAGGGTGCCGTAACCTATGCGAGGGAGATTTATGAATATGAATATCTACAGATTGTCACTGCATAAAGTGGCACATAGCTAGGATAGAGATTATCTGTTAAACCTCCTGCTAGAATATAGAAAAGCGTTAGTAAGATGTAAGTTTCTGTCCTAAAAATACGCTGCCATGTTCTGCGTTAGGCGACAAGAGGAAGTATATCTGGGAGCACGCACCTGCGGGGGATATACGATCTTTATAGACTTCCCCTCTACAGCTTTCCATCCCATTGTCACTTCTTTCCTCTTCATAACATCACTGTTCCAAGCAGCTCTACCATAGCGCTACCTCCTTTATGGATGCACAAGTAGCACGAGCTTGTCAAGCAGTTTGGGCCGTTAGCCCTAGGATGGAGAGTGAATGGCATACCTCATTCATTCCAATGCACTCCTCCATCTGGCCTGACCCTTGGTGCCCTCCCATTTTCACCCCAGGGATGACAAAGCAACCTTAGCCTCCCGAATGAGACTAGGGATACCCACCTGCGAGTCAAAAAAGTGAGTTATCTGCTATTCGGAGCTTCTGTTTCTTTTGGGAATGGGCTGCTTACGGGTATGAGCAATAAACATTCTCTATTTCCTTGCCAGATTCAATAGTCAATACACTATAATTATCCATGATATCAAAGAGAGTGGCAATGATATTCAACTATACCAGTTAGAGATATTAAAACAGCAACGCTATTCCACCATTAGCCATCTTTCAATATGCCATGGTCGGATCTATGCTTTCCGCAATTGTAGATTCATGTCCGTCCTCGAAGCTTGATCATCGTCAGCCCCTAATTCTGGAAGATACTTTGCATAGCTGAGACTCACCATGGAGCCCTTCAATTCACTCTCCAATTCGTCCACGATAGAGCCTTGGCCATCAGGATCATTTTCGACCAGTATCGCTTGGAAGCTGTGAAGCTATTAAGAGCACCAGAGTCATGAGGAACTGACTCAATTGCTAAAGGAGTGGGATACGGAGCAGTAGTTTCATGTATATGAGCAAGTGGTGGAGCTCGGAGAGCTCCGTAGCTGCTAAAAGAAGCATTCCCGCGGTGGGGGAATCAAAAGCTAGGGAAGCACTTTGGCTCGTCCTGAAACTGAGTAAAACTATCGCTAAGTGGGATTCCTGATTAACAAAGTGAGTGCTAGCCCAGCCTGTGTGCGGTCACCTAATCAGTAGCATTTCTTAAAGGCGAAGGCATTCCACCAAATAATGCAAAAGCATAGCCACCCTGCCTTCTTGACTTTCAGATGCTTTTTTAGAGGATGGTGGTAGCACAATGCCGTATATCTTCGTATGATCTGGTATCAAAACAGAGAACATTGCTAACTATGCAAGAAATCTTAGCAACCGAAGGGATTACATCCTATATGATAGCATGTTATCGCATACTACGGGATGTAATTAGGATATATTTAATATGTTAACCTTCTTGCTAGAATTAAGGCAAATGTCAATAGGAACTAGGTGTTAGTGCAAATAATATGTTTCTATAGTTTGGTTGGAAGGAACGATATATAGTAAAAAGAATCTAGAGAAATCTCACTGTTGAGTAAGCAATACAAAGAAGATAATGAGCCCCTCATGAAGTACGTTGTAAAGAACCTTCACAATCCACAATCTCTGACATCCACACAAATTTCGCTCTTCAACCCATCAACGATCTTGTTCTGCCCCATGGAGTAAATCCGGGTATTAAGCACTTAGATTTTCCAGGTAGATACCCCTGGTAGCTCTGATTGATTCACCGTGGAAATCCAGGATGTTCCGCCCTCGAAAGCGTGGTCATTGGCTAGGACAATTCAGGGCAGTACATCTAGGACGATCAAGACATGGCACGTTCCTAGAAATATATTAGCGTAGACCAAATTCGCATCGCATGGCCTTTGGAGGAAAGTCATAAAAGGATTAGGAGACATATATTGATTGGTATTCAGTCAGACCACGGGGCGAGATATCTATGGACTCACCTTGCTGTGACGCTGGCGTTTGATTGGTCGGGACGTTGACTGCATGATTGGCCAACAACCCAAAACTGGAAGTACGTCTTGTACTTCGATCGTGCCAATGATACACTTTCCAAAGCTGAGGTTCACCGGTCCGCATTTACTTAGCATCTTAGATTGTGCATGGAACGATTGACTGCATGAGCTCGCATGAAGGACGCAAGGCTGGCGAACCACAGGGCCGTTTCCAGGAGGCTTTGGACATCCTCCAGGTGCCAACTCATCTAACATGTAAGCCTCTCACAAGCAGGGCGAACTGCCAGCTCAACTCTAGAGCCTCATTCTGCTTCCCCGCGAAAGTGGACAGGATAAAATGGCGGTAACGGGAATGTGCCATTGCTGGCCATAGTCAATGCTCTCTATTCTCTGGCCGCTCAATTATGTCTATTAGCGAAAATTCTACTCTGCTTGCTCCTGCGCGCGATCACGACGGACCGGATGAACTACTCGACGGGCATCCGGATCGATTGGAGGACTTGGCCGTGAGTTCATATGACAAATCGTAAGCTCAATCGCTGCAAACCATCTTTTCATAGCGCAGGAAATTGACCTGAACAGACCGTATACCGATCAAAAGTTTGTTGCTCTCGATGTTGGTCCTAGCCAAACCCGCTTCCTTGTGCACCGCACACTTCTTGAGCAGAGTCCAGTTCTCGGCGCAAAACCCATATCATTCCTATGGGGTGACAAGAGCATTACGGATGTGATCCCACTCCCTGACCTCGACGAGTCCACTGCACATACCCTCGTACACTATCTTTACACAGGGATGTACCAAACTTTGCACTCGTACAATCTAGAAAAGGACGGATTCGTCCACGGATATAAGCTTGGAACTTGCGTCTATTGTGCAGCAACACGTTATAAGATCCCGGGCTTGGCGGACCTAGCAAAGGATAGGATCACTTTCTTCGGAGAATCATTGTCGATCCTTGAAGTACTGAGCGTTGCTCGGGAGAGCGCTTTCCCAGTGCTGCCTGAGGAGGAATCATGGTTTCCTGCATACCTCGAAAACGCGATCAGAGGAGCGTTCTCCAAGGACCCAGAGCTATTCTCAAAGCCAGACTTCTCGGATCAAATCGAGGGCGATCGTAGGTTCCGCCAGGTTGTGATGAAGGCAATTTTAAACACATTTACGAGAGGCCCACTTGCAGCGAACGAACGAGGGCCAGAACCATCATATTCGGCCGGAGAGTCGATTGTCGAACCATCCTCGACCGGAGTAAGACGCGATTCTAGAATTGCAGAGATACCAAAAGCTAGTGAGGTAGGTAAGACTAGTGAGGATCATGCTAGCGGAGTGGCCCCGCTGAGTGACGCTACCCAATTGGTAGAGGTTGGGAAAGATATTGAACTGGATTTTGAAGCAAACGAACCGGCCGTGGAAGTGCCAGCAAAACCAGAGCCAGTTACAGATGAGACAGGTTGGGCCAGCAGCAAAACATACCAGAAAATGGGCAAGAAACCAGAGAGCGTAGCTGGCTCAGAAATTGATCCGGCCCCGAAGGAGGCAGTTCCAGTGGCATCAACGCTGGAGACGGTTGTGGAGCAGGGAAGTCCTAGTTTGAGCGAAGCCAATCCCGTCGTGGAAGAAGCAGGCGTTGCGTCACCTAGGCCGATGACAGATGAAACCATGACGGTAGATGATGGGGGGCCAAACGATGCTCCTTCGGGCTCTAAGAAGAGCAAGAAGAAAGATAAGAAGAAAAAGAAGAGTCAGGGTGCGGGTACCTCTGTCGCCGTCGCCTAAGACCCTTGAATAAGTTTCAGCTCAGAAGAGGAAGAAGGGAAAGATCGTAGTCGCTCGTTTATCGTAGAAGGGTTATTTAAGGATCGTTTAACTGTGTCTGCCCATTTCCACATGTAGCTTGCCCGCGTTGATGTGAGAACAGGATAGTCGTACAGATACTATGGAGTGGGAGACTAGAAGACTTCGGAAGACGCGAGGCGCTCGTACAGTAAAGTCGTCGGACAGGAGAGTTGTGGTAATGTGAGACGGTTACCACGTGACCTTTAAGTTTAACCTATGGACAGATGACCTGACAGGGCCTAGCACATGGTGCAGCCAGAAGTTCCCTTAGGAAATCTGAGGTTGAACTAGTCCCGATAAGGTGTGCCCTTGGAATAGTGCTTTAACCAGTGTCCATCGGCGAAACTTAAGCTGTCTGCTTCACTTCCAAAGCCTAATTCGATCACGTGCCAATCACCTATAAAGGCGGATAAGATGTGGTGAAAGCTTTCACAGCGAAACATCTGCTGATTATCGTGCCTGGAGATGGTCAAGGCTACCAGTAGCGAAAGCAGCCATTCGCGTGATTGAGCCAGGGCCAATTGAACCTGTAATCAAAATTTTCGATCGCGTGACTAACTCCCACATGATAGGTAGTGTTGTAAGGGTTAGACAATTGTCAGGCTCTAAAGGAGCAGGAAGCCCAGGAGGGGGGAGGCTCAGGAGCCCAGAATATGTCTTCCAGAGCAGAATGAGAATGGGGGCAGTCTATGGTTGATAGCTACGCCTTTGCTTACGATTTACCGAGTTCCCCTTATGTCATGTCTATTGAATCTGTTTGATTCTTCCAGCTCACCAGTTATCGTAACGCGCAATGTCGCCGAGCAGTAAGGGTTCGCACGAGGGGAGTCCTTAGTACCACGTTTCCATTCTAGCGGGAGATAGACAAGGCGAAACGGCGAGCGGGGAACAAGCCTCTGTTGCTGAACGTCTAGAAAGGGCGTGAGATCTCTTTAGAAAGGATATTCAGGGGAGAACAAAAGGTGCTCGGCGGCACGAGACAGTTATGTAGAAATGAAGGGATGGCGTTGAGCTTCAACCTCAAGCAGACCGTATCTGCCCTTGTCCATGCAACACAAGATAAATGAGGGGTATATCCCGCAGTTCCCGCTGCGGGGTTCGCACCTAACCATGTGCTGTAAATTTTTTGACGGATCAAGCTAGACTCGGGAAGGAAATAAAGCCAAAGCTCTACTTAGGCTAGCTAAAGCGTGCTGACCAATCCATCAACAATCTTCACAGTGCCTCCTACCAATGAGCATATTGGTTATTGTGTCGCAAACCTCGCAAGGTAAATCCGAGTTAGACATTGCTAACACGGCAAGTAGAGCTTCTCTGCGACGGAATAACAACATTGGGCCGTGTTCCTTATCCTTTAAAGATAAACATAACGTAGGTAAAGGAACATGGCACGCTATCCGCGGGTCAAGTGTAGGCTACAGCTACAAAGACTACGCATATCTTGGAGAGAGAGCAGTTAGTCGGGCTGCCGGTGTAGACAAGTATTCCAAAATTAATTTCCGCTAACTGCAGCATCTCATCACCTAGAAATATTCTACGGGGGTTATGTTAAGACAAATGTTAGCATTCGGTTGGAGTTCTCTTTAATTCTAGCAAGAGGTTTAACAGATAGACTCTGCTCTAGCTATGCTCCGTGTTGTGCGACAGTGTGCTGTAAGTGTAGTCATCTAAATGTGAAGTGAGGTTAGTGAGAGGGTGTTCGTAAGTATGTTGTCTACTGGACCCTGGGATAACATTCAAGCTAACAACATACAACATCAAGATGTACTTTTTGAAATCTCATAGCTTAGCGGAATATATAGATTCCGACCTGATACTTAGTTGTTTATACCTTCTTGGCACATCCTTGATAGCCCTGTCCTCCAAATCTAGACATCTATTCCGCCTCTTCGCTTCTCTCCTTCTCCCTCCAAAATTTCCGCAACTCTCTTGGTCCCAAATTTCTTCACAGCCTCGTAGTACACGTCGGCAACCCCCTTGCATGCCGCGACTTCAAACACATTTCCCTCCGTCGCACACTGATTGTATAAATCCGACTTAAAATTGTTATCAATATTTGCTTTGGCCGAGCTCGTAAAACGACTCTGTATCTTGTAATTGCGGTAGCCAAAGTCGTGCCGGTGACAGGATGGGAGGAAATTGAAGCCAAGGGGGTTGTCTGGGGAATCAGAGCAGCCGTCGGAGCTCCATTCCAGGGTAGAAGGGTCCTTTGCGTTGCGGGCGGCTTCAAATTGGGAAATGGTGGAGGAGAAGAGCAATCGGTCTGTGGCTTGTTGGATGGTTTCTGCGCGAGGGGAAAGATTTTTGTTGAGCGGTGCTGTAAGAGCGAGGGATGTGAGCCCTAGAATAGACACAATGGATAATTTCATGTTGAACGGTAAGATTGGTGAATGAAGCTTGCGAAGGATAATGAAGCAACTAAGTCTGCCCGCTCCAAGTTTCCATCATTAAACAAGATGCCACTCCTCACATTTATACTCAAACATCTACCACTCACCTTCCCAAAGCTGACCTCTTTACATACCCGCCTATTGAAGTGTTCTATCTCCGCTCCCAATAATCCTGAGCATGACCACCGAGGCTACAATTCCATTCGTTACTGTTACGAGAAAATCTAGTTCAGGGACCCGACTTCCATATTGCAAGTCCACAAAAGTCGCAAGAGCTTTAGGTGTGAGGTCCCTGGCATGACCAGATGCTGAGATTTGATTGGTGGTGTGGTCCGGTGGTGTTGAGAACTAAGAAAAGTGTACCCCACCTTCCCGAAACGGGTGTAGATCCGCCGGGGCTCGTCTTTGGCATGCGAAGAATACGATACGGAGAACCACCAGAAGGGTGGTGATGACATGTTTATATTGAGCTCGGCTTTGCCCGAGTTTCTTGGTCGTGGCTCGAATGACCACTCCTAAATTCCAACGGATACAGTCAGCCCTCATTCTTCCTCGAGTAATAATGCGGAACTGGTCTCGCAGATCTCATCTACCATTTGTAGCGGCGTTAGACCTTCTAGGAATGAGGTTTACTTAGTCATTCTTCAGATGGAAAGCGATCGGTTGAGGAGATTAGTCGCATCTTGCTTTGTTCTAGATGTCGGTTCTTTCTTCTGAGATCGGGTTTCTGGTGTGACATTTCAGGAGAGTCAGCCCCTAACAGAGATGAGTGAATGTGTCCTCTATTACAGAGAATACAACTACAACCGAAGGTTTCTTGGTGCTTCAAGTACGCTGAGGGTGTGCAACATGTGTTAAAGAGATGGGATGACGCTAGAATGGTCTTGCAAGGGCGCGCGAGACGAGAAATTAGAGACTTAGCACCCTTCGTCGTGTGCCCTGTGCATGGTCCCTTGTCATCTCGTAGATCTTTGCGTTTATCTACGTGGGTACAGCATCGGTTGGCCTCAAGTGTGAGAATTGATTCACTCCATTACGTAATTCCATGTCCTGCTACACCTGTGTCCGAGTGCATCTCATTTTCTATTGTCGCCTCATCCATACTGCAGCCGAATAGACTGCCTACTGGCGGCTTCGGATGGCTCTAGTTCGACGGGATCAAACAGAAGAGTGTGGGTCTGGGGTGGAGGAGACTTATGGTCAGGACGCCAACGGAACGAGCGGTACATGGCCTGTAATTGACTTGACAGGAGATCTTCGGCAATATAGAAATTGAAACGGCAATACAGACCTTTGCACAGTAGTTACAATGGGGTCCTTATATGTTTGAGGTGTGTGAAAAGAAAAGAGTGGCAATGGTGTACTACGTTGACACAGAATTATTCTAGGTCGAGAGGGGCCTGCAGATGAGCAGAACAGGGGGCTTCTTGAAGATAGTATGCACGTAATAGATCATCAATGAGTTTCCAGCCTTTTCAACCAGAGGAGTTTGGAGTTTAGGAGTTGCAGATTGTGGTATGGCTGCGTGGGCGGTGTAATGAGAGCGGCGGCGAAGACAAGGCACACACTTCTTCATCAAAAACGGAAAATGCCCGGCAGGGGTGATAGCACTGCGGCTTTACTCTACCGTTGCCAGTTACTTTTAGAATATATCTAGGAGCACCTCTGCAGATACGAGTAGAATCGAGACGCACTCCATGGTGATGCTGAAGGTCTTAATATGCTCTTAAGAATAAATTATCAATTGTCAAAGTTTGTTGAGGTCTAAAAGGGTTACGCAATGTCCAAGCCAGGTTAGAAATTCGGAATTTGGGATGATTACTGCTCGTGACGACATCTTTATTCCTCACCGGAGGACCCAATGCCAAAGCCAGAAAGAAGCAATAGGCTATCTGAATTTGTTTTCAAGAGTGGGGTGGGCGAACGTGAGAAATCTCTAGCAAACAGATGTAGGACGAGCCAGGTGGTTCCTCCTAGATAAGATCTCGTTCTTATGCCTAGGTATTGCCCTCACCGAATGAAGGGCTCGATTTCCCGGAGTGTAATAGCGGCCAGAGGAGCGAGTTTCCTGCCGCTGCCAAGTGAGTGTCCACATTTTCTCTATCCTTGTACCGAGAAGCTCACTCTCGCGGATTCTTCTATTTCCCCCGGTCGATCCTACTGCATCCTGTTGCTCATGGTGGAACATGACTAGAGCCTAGTTTGCGATAGAAATGAACATCTACTTTATGTCCTCCCTAATTCCAGCAAGATCGCTGATAGATTATATTTGCCCTGATTCTGGTCCGCGGTATACGATAACACGCTGTTGTTCTTTTGCAATTAGTGAATATTTCTCGACCCGACCTGGCTTATGGTCCATTCGACACCATGGCATCGCTTCGTGAGGCGCATCCTTGAGTAGGGTTCTCGCTCAACGGTCTCAGTTGTAATTCTAGAAGGCTGACTCAGCCGGCTCTCATGTCCTCTTCATACGAAGAAGTTTCGAATAAGTCTCCTGCTGATGTCTCCGTATATTTCCCATATCCTTGGACACCCAAGAGCAAATCGTATGCGCACGACTCGAGAATCTACGTGTGGAACTATATGAAACCCCACTTTCAACATCTATCGTAATATCAGCATCGTAAATCTTATAAGAGGCGTCCTTGTAGCATACTGACCTTCAGGTTTTTGTTTCGGTCGCCAGACCTTGCAGACATCCCACTTGATCTCTCTGAGAACACAGCATTTCCATACAATGCTGATACTAGAGCATATGATCATCAGAAAGAGTGCGATGAGGCCGAATATCGCTTCTTTGGACCAGCCGGAGGAATTGATGTTTGGAGGTGTGTTTGAAGCTGAGAATATGATTAGACAATGTGGGTGATGCACCTGTAATCTACATGGGTGCACACGTGGGAGATATTGGTGAAGCTTACGTACCGCTAGTGAACATCCTTTGTTTTGTAGATTAGTTTGGGTAGCAGCGGGTGGTGGAAAATGATCATACGAGAGCTGTTGAGGGACTCAGCCGTAAAAGACTTTGGGCTGTTGAGATGGCGTTCTCCAGTACTGAGCTTTGCAAAAGGGAAGGGTTTTCAGGTAGATAGTTGAAGAGGCATGTGGAAGGACTTTAGCAGGGATGCGCGAGACTTGTGAACCAGCCTTACTGCACGTAAAGAAATATCGATTAAGTAGTGCTAATATTGAGCGAGAACTTGAGACGAAACTCATGGAGGGAATTCCTGGAACAAGCACTGATCTTATATCTTGGGGAGATCTGGCCTGAGGTATGGGAACAGCTCCTTGATCGAAAGAACTACTGCTGCTGCTCGCATCTTGGCAGGCATTGCGCGGCGGTATAATCGGGTCTCGTGTCTAACTTGGCCCGTATCTAGGGGTGTCAACCAAGCCCGGACGTAGAAAATGCCAGTCGTCTCCAGATGACTGGCCTTTCTTGCCAGTACCTTGACGAAAGCGGATTAGAAAATGACACTCCGACTGAGAAAATACAACCGGGAGTCGGGACGGATTCGGCCGACGTGGATGCTAGGCTGGCGTGCTGATAATGGCGTGTTTGGATGGTCCGCGGAATTCGAACGGGAGCGTCGGCGGTGCCAGCGTCGGCGCACCTGGAATTACAAAGGGCTCCCATGAACGGGCTGTTCAGCTGGTTTCCCCGAGATTTTGTCAGATGATCTAGCATAGAATTTATATATAAATTACATACAAAATGACACCAATCGCCATTTTGTGTGGCCGCTGCTTATCTTCTTAATGTACTTTGAATAGTCGTCAAAGCTGATTTTTCCCCACTCCTCTGCCAGATACTGACGTAGCTTCTGTACACAATACTTCAGCGATCGCCAGACATTTTTATTCAGGTTAAGATCTAGTGAGTTTGCATGCCACAACAGCTTCGTGATTCCCAGCTCTTGCTCTGCCTATGCAGTTGCCTTAGAGGTGTGAACTAATAAATTGTCCTCTATAAGGATAAGCTCCTTGTTCTTGTACGTCCTAAGAGCGTCTTAGACTGCTACCACCACAGGTAGCATATCGCAATATACACCTTAGAGTTTAGCTTACCCTTGTTCCACTCTGCATCCTTCTCAACAAACAGCAACAGTCTCTTAATACTAAGAGGGATAATTGCCCAGACTATCTAAGATAAGAAGCCTTTACATTTTAGTATGCAGCAGTCTAGTAGGAACTTCTCCTCTGTTCGCCTTTGAGACAATTAGAGACTGTGGACAGAGGTATCCTAAGCTTCTGAGACATCTCCTTCTGCTTAAAGCCTACCTTTCTAAGGGTCCAGATGCGAACGCGCTCCTTGTAAGCTGACAGTTTGGAGTTTTCATGATTAAGTATGAACTTGGTACCTCTGGTTGTTAGGAATCAGCTTATAAATACAAGTATCGTATTCGGTATTCCAGCCAATTCCATGCACGGACCATGGAGTGCCTTGCACGGGCCACATCACCAAACTGCGGACAGTCCGTTCATGATAGTGCCTTGAATGCCCGAGAGGACGGGCACATAATTGGCCCAGGGTAAGCCCCTGGCGAGGCTATTTCACAGCCACTGGTGGTGCGTATGCGCGGTAGGCCGGCTCAGCTGAATTTGTTGCGCGGCCTCCTGGCTTGGGCTCCGGACGAACCGCCAACATCCGGGATGCCGATGCATATTGAGTGAGACGCAAGATTCTGAAGCGCGATCGGGGGCTTCAAGTATCCACATTCCGAGCATTCCTCTAGCAGGCAATTCGTCCGGTAGGGCTGGAGTATCTAATAGCTGTTGGCCGTTCGGATTACGATCGATGCGGCGAATCATCTAGTCTGCTGAAGATCGAACATGAAGGGAAGGAAGAGAAGGTGGCAATTGGACACTGCTCTATGGCCAGGGAAGCTGATATGTACCGAAGCTGCTCGGCCTTGGAGCTAGTCGTACAAGCTGGAAGACTGGGTGTTAAATACCATCATAAGAAATACACATTTTTGTTAAGTGTCATTTGCTCTCCATCCTTGCGGAGTAGAATACGTATCCTGCTGATGCTTTCAACAGTCTTTAGATCTCGAAGTTTCTGAGCATTGAAAGTATGTGGCCTCGAAGACTAACGCGAAACTCCGCATTCGACAGCAGGTCAGTCCGAGGATGTGACAGCCTTGTTTAATGACTCGGGCTTACCCTGAGGCTGCACCTTCGCCCACTGAAGCCTGTATTCCTTCCAATGCAATCTGTGAACAATGTGACACTTCCACTGAAGCTAATGTTTGAAAAGGTGGCCTTGACTGATACACCTATGAGACTAAATAAGGCTCGCTTTAACCAGTCCGGGGTGTTAGGAATCATGATCGCCGCTGTACCTTTGTACAATTACACGAGAGTTGAACCACTTGGTGACCATACTTACCGTTCGTTAACATTCCAACATGTCAGCATTGAACCGCCCTTCAGATTAATGCAAGATTTCTCGTCATATATTGCACAGCTGATGCGAGGAGCCCTAGCGTGAAGCGAGGTAGTGACTGTAGGTCAAGGCGTCATAAAAGCCGACTGAATTGTAAATCTTGTTCCATATTATCTTTACGAGAGACATTGTCCGAGGCTAGGAGATGGAATGCAGTTGGATTAACAAAGTGAGAGCCAAAGCGTTTCGAGGGGATGGCTATTTAAAAGGTCATCTTAGTGAGTGGCGTCGAATGCGACTGGCTTGGTTGAGTCTGGTTGTTGCTTACAAGATTCAAGAGAGTTCCTCTGACTCTATTAGAGAGGTTGACATATAGACTGGCTTGTGTAGTTATAAAGTTTCCTGGCAAAGGAACACCAGTGTCGGAACCCGCAAATTTTAAAGCTCTAATCTGCAATACAATACTAAGCTGTTTTTTAATAGAGCCCAATGAGTGGGGGATTGAATGGAGGTGCGCTACTGATGGAGAGAGGAGAGGTTAAAAAAGTGTCATAATCCAGCCATACCTTTCCCATTCGCTCCCTTGGCATATGTCGGTGATAAGTGTTTTCGTCTGCTTGGATAATCGAAACAACATCCATCTTTATAGGCGGAGAAATATCAGAGGTATTGTGGGAGGTTCCCTAATGAGACTGGGCAAAGTGCGGCTTGCACAGTCGCACCCTCCGGGCACATGGCGCGCTACTGGGTGCGCTTTGGAGCGACACACGAGGGAGACCTGGGAAGAAATCGACCCATCGTGTTAGTTTACATGCTCACTGGACTGAAAACCGAACAGTTTTAGGAGAAAAAGGCGTTCAATCTTCTATGAGATCACTGTATTGGACAGTTACGCATGGTCGTAACGGTAAACTGACCAACTACCCTGCATGCCTCAACACCTTGCTTTCAGAGTTATGGTCATTGAATCTCACCGTTGACCCCCCATCTGCCGACTAGTATGTTGCTGCTGGTGAGCGACGCACGAACGGCGACGTATCCAGAAAGGCCTATTTCATCCAGAAGACCTGTTACTTTTATCATAGGACACCTTTATGGATCTGGGTCCACTTCATGATGGGGAAAGGAGATGCGCCACAGTGTCGGGGCGATCGCCTTAGAGAACCCTAAAGGAATTGACAGTGCATTAGCCAAATTGGCGCTGTCCTCATAAGATGCAGAATCAGATAGAGCGGAAGGGGTTTGAATAAATGGCAAACGAAGAGCAGGGTCTCAAGGATTCAGAATCACCCTTAGCCCTTGACAGGCTTCCACGAACTTGCGGGCAAATACCGTTCTTCGTCAATGAGGGCCGAAAACCAGGATTCCGTCCAGGGACAGCTAGTGTTTCACCACCTTTGCGGCCCATCCCATGATTAAATACCACCGCCTGGTGGGGAGCACAGTAGCGAGGATACCGTCATGGAGAACAATACAAAGGGCACCAAACAGTCCAGGAACGCAGGGATATGACAAACATCTTCTTCCATTCACTACCTAACCAAGAGCCATCATCCCAAGAGTCCAGCAACAACCCTCAGACCACTGCCAAACGGGATGACGTACATCTTGTCAAGCCTAGAAAGTCCTTCGTCTCCATCTCTAGATTTTCAACCAGTCAGCCAATCCATCGATCTCCTTAAAATCATCCCGACCCTCCCAGCGGACAGGTGCGGAAACAGCTTCCAGAGTTCCGCCATATAAGATACATTGCTTCAAACATTATCGACCTCTAAAAAGAATACCAAGACGTGCCCTTAGCTCTCAGCTGCCCTCAGTGCTAGGTGCACGAGGATGGCAGACGCCAGCTAAGTGTAGGCCCAGGGTTTGGGTATAAACAAAAATCCAAAAAGAAGCGAAGAAGTGCCGGAATGGAAGAACGCAAATCCACAGGATATTGCCACGTCTGGTGGGTGGGTTTGTCTTAAGATGCATCCAGCAGACCCTCAAGAATCGAAAGTTAGGGGGTAGTAAGGAGAGTAAGTAGGGCATTAACCTTGCAATCCCAAAAAACACATCACAGGCCAACCATGTAAACCAGAAAATTCAAGCGACATAGGAAAAATGTGCCATGACCCATTCCTCATAAATATTATAGCGCCTGGCCGGGAAGCGGCTTCCGGGCTGGAATAATTGGAGCGTTGGCATTAGGATTCATGGGGCTCGGGCCAGGCGGACTTGCTCGTCGTGCCATAACCTGACTTGCAGAATTTGATCGTGGGCGGCCCATTTGCGGGGGGGGCATGTGCTGCTGGGGACCGCCGCCATAGGGGCCGGGAGACATTGAGCGAGGTGGGCCGGCATAGGGGGCGTTACTGTTGGATCGTGCACGCCCTCCAGGTCCTATGTTAGGAGATATTGGGCGTGGTCCTGGGCTCATCGAGCGAGGGCCTGGGGACATGCGACCATTGGCAGGTGAGAGGGAAGGTGGGTGAGGTGAGCTGCGACCACTGGCGGGGGAGAGCGGGCGTGGCTGGGGAACACCAGGACCCATAGGAGGACCTCGAGGGCGAGGAGGCCCTTGTTGTCGGGGTGGTCCGGTGCGAGGCTTGACGGGGTGTTTGGAAAGACATGTACGAGGGACGACACCCTGTTGTGAACGATCCATGCGAATACAGAGAGCCTAGACGGAGTCAGTTGTAATATCGACGAAGAGGATCCAGAACTTACCCAGCCGTCATCGTACTCATGTAGCATGCGAACCAACTGACCACCACGAAGTTCAAGTTCGTCCTGCATAGAGGGCTTGAAGTCAAGTTGGACGCGGTGAACATTGTTAGGGGCAGGGGCAAGGGCGGGACCATTAGGAGATCCACCGGCGACAGCGACTGGGGGAGGGCCGGTGGGAGCTGGGCCAGGGGAAGCAGGAATATCTTCTGTCCAAGATGGGCTAGGTGGAATTACGCCGGATTCTGACTTGATGCTCGGGGGAGGTGGAACTTCCCTACGCACAACAGGAACAGCGGCCATGGCAATGGGCGCAGCTGTGGGAGCGGCCTCTGCGGCAGCAATGGCTGGAGCAGGGTTGCCGAAATCATTCAGATGACCGCTGGGACCAGGAGCGTAATTGGCAGATTGGGGAGTGCTAGGAGCGGTCGCTTGAGGAGTCTCAGTTGCAGCGTGGTTACCAAAGGGGTTCTGTGGAGGGCTCGGAGATCTCTGTTGAGGCTGCGGGTCAAGGAAGGGATCGGTTGGAGGCGCACCGGCATTTGCCGCCCCAGGTCGTTCCCAAGGGCTAGCTGGCTGATCATTCGGTGATGGGGTGTGTTGACGGGATTGAGGAGGAGGTGCTGCAGCAGCCGCAACGTTCAACAAGTTTCCACCACTCTTGCGGTTCTCTTCATAAGTAGGGGAGAATTGGGTGACCGGCCGAAGGCTGAGACGAGGTGCGGTTGACAAAGTTCTCTGCGTTCGGATACTGGGAGCAACTACGACTGGAGGCGGGGGAGCGTTTTGCATGGCAACCTTTTCATCCTCCACCTTCTTTTGGGCAAGGGCCTTTTTCTTGCGGTGGTACATGAAAAGGACAAGACCAAGGATACCAGCGATTCCCAGGAGAAGACCCAATGCAAGACCGGCCTTGGCACCACCAGACATACCAGTGCTCTTTGCAGCCTCTGCGGTTGACGTAGCCGAAGGGGAAGTAGTAGCAGCAATTGCTGCTGCTGTAGCACTAGACAAGATTGGAGACGAAGTAGCGACCATTAGCGTCGATGCGACGTGAGTTGGTGAGGACGTCTCAGTCTCTTTTGCGTCGGAGGATTTCTTCGTAGCAGTTGCCTTCTCGGAAGTTCCACCTGACTTGGCCTTGGACGTAGGCTTTGCGTCGTTTGCGGTGGAAACTTGCACAGGCACACCAACAAGAGTTGCTGGGGCCTGGGTAACCCATACGGCATCACCTGAAAAGGTCTTTGGCATGGTCTTGATTACAACGGAGACGACGGTCGCGACATTGTTGTTCTGGTTCCTATTTCGCGTGTTAGGAGGCTGTTCTGGCTGTTGTTGTGGGTTGGGATCCACATGCTCATGGCGATGGTGCTGCCGTCGCACCAAGTGCGCTCCTCCATGGTGAGGCATCGTTCCTTCCAAATCGAGAATTGCTACTCGAAACCTCGCCAAACAGATAGAGTGCGGTTGTCGAGCTTATGTGTCGCGTTGCGACGAGATTAAGAGCGACTCAAAGCAGGCGCGTTCGACTTCCAAGATGTGACTGCCTTAGTTCGTCTGAATTCAATTTGTTGCTTCGATTGAATAATGTTATTCGATTATCGTATTATTCTGGTGGTGAACAATCGAAAGCGACAGAAGAATATATATAAGGCTGGTGATGATGTTGATCGAGGGAGGCCGATGTTGCGATTTGCTGCAAGAAATGTAGGTAGCTCTAGAAGCAGGCTCTGGCTTCACGCGACTCGGTCGGAGTATGTTGATATGGTGTGTACTAGGCACTAAACAGAAAAGAGTGAATTAGGTGGGTGAAAAAAGAGTGAATGGCGACGGCTGCAGTCGATGAACGAAGGACGAACGACAGCCTGGTCGCGAGTAGGGCAAATTGAAGCAATTGGGGGAGAGCGGCGAGGAGGAGTGAAGATGGGTGAGAGTGGTGAGAGCAGCGGACAGGAAACCAGCTGGGCCGTTTCTTCGTGTGCCTGCAGGGCCAAGCGCCCACTGCTGGCCCGTGGGCCGATTCATCATTTCACCAACACCCCTAGCCGCTGCTTGGCCTCAGGCACAGCGCCGGTTTGATTGGTCAAGCAATTTAATTTCCCGGTACGGTGATGACCTCGTTCTATTTTGATTCGTGTGGTGTTTGCCTTGCGCAAGTTCATCGACACCACCACCCCTCAGCCTTCCTCGAAAATCTTGCTCTTATCCCCCTTATCGAAGCTATCGCCCATTCCCCGGGCGCGAGCTGCAGCTTCTCGGAACATTGTGAAAGCTGGCTTATGCAAAAAATGACTTCATCTCATGGTTCGGGAGAGTACGAGGTGGCTGATACAATGCACCAGCCATTTCTCCACGATAATCTCGCATTCCACGCATCTCCCGGGCCTTTTCAGACTCAGCCTCTGCATCGACAAGCGGCGAAAGGAGCGTGAAAACCGACTTGGGAATTGTGCGTTCCGTCATTAATAACTCTGTTAATTTGTGCGCAGGAGTCAGAGTGACATAGGCCGCGCGAAGGGAGAGAGCTGTTGGCCGCCTGGCCAGCGCTGGAGCTGCTTTTAAATTTGAACTAGAGGAACGTCGAGTCGCAATTTCAACAATGACGAGCGCTGCAGAGGCTACCTTTGATAAATCTTCATTGTTGTTCGTTGATCGATAACCGCGACTGAAGCAAGTATTCCCTAATTCCATCCAAGCTGGTTCCTCTCAAGAGACCTCTCGTTTTGAAGTGGTTGGATGGTCTCGTCATTAGAACTTCGAATCGATCAGAGTGGAATGTACAGAACTGCTACTGACTCCAGACTTCAATCATTGACGAAGACAGAATGCAAAGACCGCTTTCATCTTGCTCAACTCAATGCTGGACTGAGGACGCTACTAGAATAGGAGGATGTATCTTTTGTCAAGGGGCGAGAAGACCAGTGCCGTGGGAGACTGTAACAATGGTCTTCTCCCAGTGTTGCATGCTTATGAAACATGTATATTAAAATTATATTTCGCATTGCACGCCGAAACAGTTCTCGATTCTGCAGAACCTTAAAAAAGCATGGGGTGGTGCTAAGCTCGGCACTCAATTTGCAAAACTCCCCCCAAAAAATATGTCAACCTTTACATCACAAACACAACAACATCGCCACTCGTGAGAGGTCTGAAGGATGCCAATAAACAACAAAAAGACATGCCCACTATCAGAATCGAACTGATGACCTTATCATAGCGGCTACTAGTGATACGCTCTACCACTGAGCCAAGCGGGCTGGAAATTTCCACCGCCATTACAACATGAATTAACTTTGGGGCTTTTATTTTTACCTATATAGCCGTATATAGTTCAAATTGAACATAGCTCTCAAACATCTAAAAGAAGATTTCCCGGAGACAATAAGCGGGGCTTCGGATCTTGAGCCAACCAGACTACTCACCGCTCTACCCAGAACTCCACCGAGACATCGCGTCATCGACAGAATAAATATGACCTAGACATACTGGAGAAAATAATATGATGCAAAATTTTGCCGCTCCAGAAGCGATTATAATTTCCCTTAACCAGAACCGTTCGCTACTACACGTCCTGCCTGGAGAGGGCAGGGGCTGAGAACGAAGTCCGAACCTTCGCCCAGAAAACTCTACTGCCATTACCGTACGGAGGAATCCACACTCTATCCACATTCTAATACCTACTCCAAGAGGCCCCCAGTTTTATCTCCATCTATTATTGACAAACTTGGCACTTATCGTTTCTGCTCACATGATGCACTAAGTTTCAACCGAATCTCTCTCACTAACCGATCTTAGAAAGGAAAGTGCCAAGCGAGGAAATCTTTCCATGTTTCGAAAGAGAGGATCGAACGAAACAACTTTATTCTCGCATCATCTCCAGACGTTCTTTTAGAAGGATAATTGTTTTAGCAATGGCAATAAAGGCTTCTATTATCGGATTGTCCAGTTTGAGACGTCAAGCGCTCAGTTACTACTTTCCTATTCATCTCCCACTTAAATCCGCGGCCAATCCAATCGAATACTCATTTTATCAAATTGACATGATATCCTTCGCACTTCACAACCACCCCCCATCAACCATCTCCACATGAATTCTCTATCAACCTACCACTGTCCTCTCCTTTTTTTATGGCCATCCCCATCATTTCCATTTAACAAGGATGTGGCACGCCATCTAGGTCCAGTTAGCCCTCACTCTCATCATTGGAAGTTATACAACTCACCTTCACACCCATCGTTAGTCCAATGCGCACTAATCCAACAATCCCAACCAGGAATATAATCCCATTTACAATTCCCCGAGATACACTTGCCCTCGCTCCAACACCTGACGCCAAATCGCTCTCCGACCTGGACTGTGCGCTTGCGCTTCTGGTTCCAGCGGTCTTCGTCGCAACCTTGGGCTGATGAGACAGTCGGGTGGAAGTTGCAGTATTTGTCGCGGACCTGGAGCGCTGAATATGCTTCGGCGAGGGGGTTTGGGGAAGTGATTGGGGAGGAGAGGGCTAGAGGGAGGAAGAGGAGGGCTGTTGTGGTAAGTTTCATGGTGGAGGTTGGAATGATTGGGTTTTGGCGTAAGGTAGGGAAGTTTGGACCTTAAATATCAACGCTTCAGAGGGCATATTTGGACGGCTTCACAGGAGGATTTTATACCTCATACTCTTAGTTTCTTTCACCTCCTGCCAAGATCTTCATCATCATCCTGCTGATGGTCTTCCCTCAAGCCAAGCTCATATAGATTGGAGTTCAAGCAAGTTTTTAAAAAACCGCAACCCAACAGCGAAACCCATCTTCAAGAACCCACCAACCAAAACCAACGATCCTAGACGGAAAGGCAATGCGCCAAACATTGTGGTGCCATACGGCTGTTCGGGGGGTGTAGCTAAGGCTTTGTAGTGTGGAGAGAAGGATCTGGATCTAATCAACACAAGCCCTAATCTCCCGATCTGAAAAGAGTACACAAACGCGAAATACGAATGCACAGTGTGACGAACTAAGCTAAACAGAGAAACCTGATTATCGCATAACATTCCCAAAGTTAGGGAGCGGTACGTGCAAGATTACCTCGCTTAGTCTCCAGTTAATATATGGTTGATTGCAGCGCCAAAATCATGTTACATAAACAGAGATATTGGTAAGAGAAAATGGGTTCTAGCTTAGGACATGCAGAGTCGTCCATATAGGTTTCAGCTACCATGGCTCGTATATTGGGGAATCCCGACTGGTTCGACCTTGGAATTGGAAGTGCCTGACCAAGCAGTTCAATAGTAATATGCGGCTTGAAGTGCTGTATTCGCCCCACTAAAGCTCCCCCCTTTAATCTCAAGACCGGTAGAAGAAACCTTGAGGAAATCGGAATATGGACACTGGGTAGGCTGCTGGTTTGGGTTCGTATTCAATCCGACTTACTATAAGTCAAGTCTGTAAGACTTCCACCCAGTCCGCTTCGTTAGATTCCAAATTTCCCCATTCTAATCACTAGTGAAGATGGACATTTCAAATATACTCCGGCATCGTAGCTGTGAAAATTGAAGAAATATACTGGAAAACAAGGTTTATTCCTGATGCACACTTGTATCTTCTAAAATAGCCTCGTCAAATAGCTCGCTCATATTTCTTTACGGTAAGCAGAATATAGTATCACGTACTGTCAAGTTCTGGACATTGTTTTTAGAATACTGTCGCGAAAGAGACTAGAAATGACAAGAAGGATGCGGGTTATCTCCATTCATGCTCTTGAGCGTCTCCTCAGATATGGTGAAGGAGAGAATATCCCACAGGGTCCAGAAACTTCTCTTTGAGTGTTATGCTCCTGCATGGAAGCGGTTGAAGTATCTGTCATAGTTCATTTCGCTTCAAGGCGACTTGCTCAAGGTGTGGCATCGGTAGGCTAAATGCTGAGAGATACCTAGGTCTAGCTTAAGGGGGTCCCGCGACACTGTGTTAAGAATCACCCCATTCACGTGGTAGTTGAAGGCGCAACGCGCTCCAAGCCCCGCCACGTGAATGTCACTGACGTCATCAGACATAGTTTCATCGGAACCTCACCGAGCGGCCTGTGCGTAAGCTTCATCCCACCTTTCCAAGTTTTAGAGAGTCTGGGCCGGGATTAAGAAGGGTGATGCTTCCCCGCTTCGTGTCGCAGAACCCCAAATTCTCTTCTCTCGCTGGTTACAAGGGAGCCAGTTTCGGCAGCGGCAACACCGCTGCGATCACCCCGCTTCTCTTCTTGTATCTAACGGTTGCGAAATATTTTATAGACCTTGATGTTAAGCATCGCGCATCATGTCCATCGCGAATCCTACCCAGTCCGGCTCCGGATTCCTAACCTTCAACTCCATGCCTCCGCGCATATGGCTGACTTCCTCCTCTCCCCATCCACCGGAAAAGGCTCTATTATATTGGAAAGAGGAAGGATTTGACGCGACATACTTCCCTTACACGCCCCACGACCAACAAGGCTACCTCAGAACCTTAAAAGCCCTGCACAATGACTTAGAACTAGGTGAGACCTACGCACTGATTTGCCACGGAGAAGCGGCGAGCGTGGTATTGAAAGCGGCGATTAAACCGATGCCGAAGCTGTGCGCGTTGGTAGCATACTATCCGACCGTGTTACCGAATCCGAAAACCAAGTATCCGAGTTTGTTGCAGATTGTTGTACACATCGCGGGTTTGAGTCAGATCTCTGCGCCACCCGAAACGTGTGAGTGGAAGTGCTATCGTTACGAGCACTGCACTTCTGGTTTTGTAGATCCGGCAGCGAAGCAATATTCGGAGGTCGAAGCGAATCTTGCGTGGAGTAGGACATTGGCCTGTGTGCGGAGGGGCTTCAAGAGGGATGTTGACCTTGAGACTATAGTGGAGGAAATGTGGCGAGGGAAATATGATGTTGACGTGCCGGAACAGGGGAGTTTAGCAGTGGTGAAGAATATGACGCAAGCGAGCCCACACGTTACAATTCTCCCTACTCTAGAAGGAGGGATGGGGAGGAAGAAATTGGAGGAGTTTTACCGCGAGTTCTTCATTCCGAGTTTGGTGGAGGATTTTGACATTCGGTTGGTTTCCAGAACTATTGGTGTTGATAAGGTTGTGGATGAGATGGTGGTGTCGTTCACACATACCGACGAGATAGATTGGATTCTACCAGGAGTACCGCCGACAGATAGACATGTCGAGATCGCCGTCGTCAGTGTAGTGACGGCGAGGGGTGGCAAATTGGTATCAGAACATATGTACTGGGACCAGGCTTCTATCCTCGTTCAGGTTGGACTCCTAGATCCGAAGGTCGTACCAGAGAATATGAGAAAGGATGGCCTTAAGCGATTACCAGTAGTCGGAGCAGAAGCAGCAAGACAGCTAGTCCAGCCCAGACAAGCAAGATATAATGGACTGCTTAAAGAGCACGGACTGATGGAGGGCTTGAATGGTGTGAATGGCACGAACAGTGTAAATGGCGCTTAGAGAAATATTGCTTGGTAACTTGTCAGTTAGTGTCTGAGATCGATATCTGGCGTTGTTTCAGCCAATGAAGCTGCATGTCGGCAATTTGTACTTGTCAAGAACCCAATATTTCCTCCTCACACCTTCCCATTTGCCTTCAGAGTCAAGATTTGGGATTGGGATAGTTTCCCATTCCGTGTCAAAGCCGGCTTCAAAGAGATCCATTTCCACGATCTGCTCATTTGTTAGCTAAAGATTGCTTAGCTGCGAATCTGACTTTCCTTGTTGTATACATCGTAGCAGACCTGCCGATCCGCCCCCATTCCATTGAAGAATCCGAATTTCCCACCTTCTCTATCCACACCTCCTGCTGGATCCAGTAATCCGATTACGTATTCAGTGAAGAACTCCCGAAGCGCCTTGTATTCTTCGGCGAAGGTGTCGAAATAGATGGCGTCAAACAGCTCTCCTTTCTCCACCAAACCGGGCAAGACATCCTGCCATCGCCCCTCGTGAACGACGACACCAGGTTTATCGTACCAACCATGCTCTTTGATCCTCTTCAGGATATCTGGATGAGCCTCAATGATGTGATGGGAGCTCGGACTGTTATCCTGGAAGATGCTGTCGATAATGCCCATCCCATGCCCAACATTTAAGACTCGTAAGCTAGCTGAAGGAAGTAAGAGCTCTGCAGATCGGCGCATGAGTGTGGTCTCCCATTCCATCATTACACCGTTATCAGACCTATCAAGTATCCTGTTACGGTCGAATGTCAAAATTGAAGAGAGGTAATTCGGGTTCTGGGTAGATTCGTCTGCTGCTTCCTGGGCGGTATGTCCTCCCTCCTCAACATTGAGGTCCTCTCTCTCAGCCCCTTCATTAGTTTCCTCAGCTACTTCACCCCCGCCTTCTTCCGAATCGGTATCTCCCAAACGCTGATACTCATCCAATCGGCTCAGCAACAATTCCGCCCTCACGCCGGCATCCACACATAGTTCATAGAGCTCCTTCAGCCCCAATCTAAGCGCTATACAGCCTGGCGTCTCGCCATTGCTATCTAAGTCATTCCAGATTGCTCCGTTCAGAAACAAGAGCCGGATTGTCTTCTCTGCCATCTCCAACTCTTGCCTCTGGTCCGCGCTATTTTCTTGTGCAATTTCTCCGTTGGTAGTCTCTCCATTTGTATGTCCGTTGACCTGTTTCGAAGGCACAAGTGGGGGCACAGGTTCGTTGGGTTCGCAAGCCGCAATCGCAGCATGAAGAGGCGTGAATCCAGTCTCAGTGTCTTGCACGTTCGCGGAGGTATTGCGGAGAAGGTCCCGCAGAGCGCGCACATCGTGGTTTGCGGCAGCTAGGAGCAAGCTTTGCGTTTGCAGGTCGGTTTCGACTTGGAAAGCTGGATCGTCCATCGTGCACAACACACGCGAGAGATTTACGTACTTCTAATGGCGTTAACTGTGTTGTATTAGGCATGTTTGCAGCGGGGTTGTAAGTCTTCGTCTCTCTTGTCGTCCGCAGCCTAATCTGTTTTGGGGCTAAAGTTACACAGTGCAGCTGACATATCAGGACTAAATAAATTTGCATACCTCAACTTCAGGCGAGGAACAATATAACGGGAGTGGCACTTGTGTTGACGTCCCCGAATTCGCCACAGGCGTCTGTTTCATTGAACATGACGCGGGTGACAAAGAAAGCCGCATCCCAAAAATTTAACCTTCTTTAATGCCAAGTATCTTAGCCAAGTAGAGTGGCGAACAAGCTTAAGATTAAGCAGAATTGAGGAAAAAGGCTATTCCATTTTTCTTTGCACGAAGCTATTTACTGTTTTGTTCTCTTATTCTTGCTTGTTCTTGTAACTGGAAGAGTTGTTTAACAAAGTAGGTGAAAGCTCCTCGAAACCTTTGCAGGTTTTGTCTATTGAGAGGAGCTTACTTTGTTACCAACGTGCGCTGGCTCAGAAACAAAGCTCAGCCCCAAAACTCGGAACGAAAAGGAAAACATACCCTAAGCAGGCACTGGAATCCTCCACATCCTGAAGTGATGCAACTATTGTACAAACGCGCCCTTCTCGTGTAGCTTTGGGACGAGGATGGTCAGGAAGAGGGGGGTTGAGGCGACAACATCGGGCCGATATTGCAAGCTGTCCAGGGGAACATGCCGGGCCCGACGAGGTAGTCACTGTTGATTTTAGGTGACATTTATGAAGACTTCCTTTTCTCTGCGATTAGTGCTTCTAAATTTAAAAATAGCACGGTTGAATAAGACAATTCCAAGGAAAATCAAACTATCAACCCGTAGATCATCGCGATATCTTCCTCGCTAGCGTTCATATACCTCGGGGACAAGCGACAAATGCGTCTAGCTTCGGCCCGAGCACAGCCGGCCCAAGATGACGCCATCCACCAGTCATTAGTCAGCAGATATGGAAGTTTGAGAATCCCTTCAAGACAGCAACATCCTGGTCCATTTGAGCCCGAAGTCACAACGCAATGGCCTCAATTCTTACGCGTGCTGCTCCTCGAGCTCTCTGCTTCACTGCGCGTGCTTCTGCTGCCCGCCCCAAACTCAATATTCAACGTCCATCAACGCCCCTCTTACGACGATTCCTTGTCACGTCAGCAGAACAGCCGCGTCTCCGCCTTGGATCAGTAGGCAAGTATTATGTACTTGAGGCTCTTCTACGATTCTAATTGACATGCAGCTCCGAATTTCAAGGCGAAGACTACACATGGTGACATCGATTTCCACGAGTTCATCGGCAACAGCTGGGCGATCCTTTTCTCACATCCCGCGGACTTTACGCCAGTTTGCACAACAGAGCTGGGTGCGTTCGCAAAGCTGAAGAATGAGTTCGAGAAGCGCGGCGTCAAGATGATCGGGCTGGTATGATCCTTTTACTACATGGCTACTGTCTTCATTCTGATGCGGGTTTCTTAGAGCGCGAACGACCTCACGTCGCACGACCAGTGGGTGTCCGACATCAACGAAGTCTGTAATACAAATGTGCAGTTTCCCATTATCGCCGATGCCGACCGCAACGTCGCCTTCCTTTACGACATGATCGCCCAGGATGATTTAGACAACATCAAGGGAAAAGGAATTGCGTTTACGATTCGCTCAGTCTTCATAATCGACCCGAGCAAGAAGATACGATTGGTAATGCTGTATCCTGCCTCTACCGGGCGGAATACAGCCGAGGTGCTGCGGGTCATTGATAGCCTGCAGACGGGCGACAAGAAGGGTGTGGTGACGCCCATCAACTGGACTGCCGGCGAGGATGTCATCGTACCACCATCAGTGTCAACAGAAGATGCCAGGAAGAAGTTTGGCGACGTTAAGGAAGTCAAGCCGTACCTGCGATTTACTAACATCGGCAAGTAGACGTCTTGTACGACATTGTAGGACATGGCAAAATAGACACATGACTCGACGAGGCTTTCCACCCCGGACTCCAACCCTTCTTCATATGATCGTGACGCGGTGGCTCTTAATGATTTTCAGGAACATTGTAGAGACACGATTCACCGGCCGCAACTCCGGGCAGCCAAAAACCTTAGCCGAGACGGTTAGCATGCTCGCAGGTACCCGCCAACAGCCTCTGAACTCAGTGGGCGGGTCTCAGTGTGGCGTTTCCCCAGCCTGCAGTCAGCCGTTAGACCGGGCGATCGCGCACCGAGGCATTGTGTCCACTGCCACTCAGTCGGACACACCCTCGTCCTTGACCGTGCTGTGCGGAGATCCACCCACATGTATCAAGGATGAAAGTCTAAATCAACGTCGTGCAGCTGACTGTATTAGCATCACGATGCTCGCTTGAGAGCCTCAGCACTCGCACCGCCCGGCTGCGACAAATACGACGCAAGATGCGGGATCTGGAGATGGAGGAGAGAGGCGGCTTAATAAGGCGGGGATCCTTCAGGGTTTTGCCGAGGTGCGAGGAGTGCCGATCCACGGCCGACGTGAGCCAAGGCCCGGAAATCTGGAGCGGCGCACATGTTAATCAACGCCTTCACCTGCAGGACGATAATCTTCACGCTTCAGATTCTTCGCCGAATTGTTTCACTCTCCTCCTATACCTTCCTTCTTGAATGCTCTTCTTGATTTGACTCCTCCCCTTTCAAAGCACAACTTGACCTTGGCTGACGCACCCCGCGTCCCCCCAACCCCCAGCATGACCACGAAGAACCTTCTCAAGCCCGAGACCCTGCACTCCACCGAGGGAATAAAGGAGGATGTTGTGGTCGCCTCGAAAAGCACACTCCAGTCGCTGCGAGCGCTGGTCGCCGGCGGTGTGGGTGGAGTGTGTGCAGTCGTTGTCGGACATCCGTTTGATCTAGTAAAGGTGCGACTTCAAACGGCAGAGAAGGGCGTCTATAGTGGAGCAATGGATGTCGTCCGGAGAACAATCGCAAGAGAGGGTCTAGCACGAGGCCTCTATGCTGGTGTGCAGGCGCCTCTTGTGGGAGTGACGCCAATGTGTGAGTTTTGATTCTGTGGCAGCACCGCTAAAAAGCAAATACTCACCATGACTAAGTCGCCGTTTCGTTCTGGGGATACGATGTTGGCAAGCAACTTGTGTCTACCTTCTCTACGGTACAGAACAACCAGTATTCAGTCGCCCAGATTTCGGCCGCCGGCTTCTTCAGTGCCATTCCCATGACCCTCATCACGGCTCCTTTCGAGCGTGTAAAGGTGCTCCTCCAAATTCAAGGGCAAAAGCAGCTAGCGCCTGGCGAGAAACCCAAATACTCTGGGGGCGTTGATGTTGTACGGCAGCTTTACAAAGAGGGCGGTATTCGGTCTGTGTTCCGGGGCTCCGCTATGACACTTGCTAGAGATGGGCCAGGATCTGCAGCGTACTTTGCTACGTACGAGATCATCAAGCGAAAACTCACTCCGAAGGACCCGGCTACAGGGCAGCCAGGTCAGCTCTCACTCTCCGCTGTCATGGTTGCTGGCGGTGCCGCCGGTATCGCCATGTGGATACCCGTGTTTCCAATCGACACCGTCAAATCACGGTTGCAGAGTGCAGAGGGGCGGCCAACGATCAGTGGTACCATCAAAGGCATTCATGCTAGTGGAGGTATTAAAGCCTTCTTCCCAGGTATGGGGCCAGCAATGGCTCGGGCCGTTCCGGCAAACGCAGCAACCTTCTTGGGTGTCGAACTTGCACACAAAGCCATGACTAAGGCGTTTGATCGAGATGAAGAGTAGATCTGAGCAACTAATTGGTCTGTAAGAGAACGGGTGAGGCATATCAAAGTATTATTACGTTTTGGATGAATATTTCTGTTTATCATGATCTGGCACGGCATTTTAGAATTCATCGTCTCCGCCCATCGTGGCCCGCGAAATAGAGATTCCAGCTTCTAGACGAGGGCTGTTGTATATCTCCGAATAAGAATATTTCTATTCATCGACCTTTCTTAGTCTCTACTTTTATTCCGTCACATTCTTCACAAACTTCCACCCCTCTCTTGCTCAGGAATGCAACAACCAAATTTTAGTATTTGCATCATCTGATCCTGGCTTGGGAAACTGCATTCTACAACATAGAGTCTCAAACTGTTTACATATCGAGTCCATATCTCCTTTGTTTGGTTATTTCGCCTTTCGTTCCGCGAACTTAAAATTTGATCCCATCTTCTACCCTCCTGACAACTAGTCCTTTCTCTGCGCCGCACCGCAAACTGCATTCAGCCTGTTTTGATCCAAGCACGAGATTGAACGCCAACTATCCAAAGCATCATGTCTTCACCATCGCACAAACCAAAATCTCCATTATCGCCGCGCCCAGATATGAACGATTTCGTGGATACGGTCTTTTTCGGGGAAGGATTGGCTCGATATGGAGTCTGCAGACGAAGAAGCTGAAGGGCTTCATCGGGGGAGTGGAAGGCAGAATTTTCTATATGAGAATATGGGATTGGGATATGGTAGTGATGCGGAGTGGGAAGATGAGGAGACGGAGCGAACTAGGTCGGTAAACGAGTTTTTCCGGACTCGAGGGCTTAGGGATCCACCACTCAATCCATGACGACGACGACATGGCTTGGTCGAATGTTGCAACTGATCATTCCTTGCGTGCTTATTCGCAACGCAGTAGAGGTAGGCATGAGAGGGAGAGGGGTAGAGCGAGACAGAAAGAAGGGATTTTGGATTCGTTGCCCCCGTATAGTCAAATCCGGGGAACGATTCTGGGACCACAATACCCACGCTCGTGGATTTTGACAACAAAAACGACGCTGTGTGCTTCTCCTCGGACGCTGCGCCATCCCGTCATCCTAGACGTAAGACAGCACAGCCCGTGAGCTTGCGTTGTTTAGGACGCGCCCATATCGTGCGCAACTCCGGCTCTGTAGGTGGAGGGACTCTCCGAGAAAGCATGCAGAGCCATACAGACAGCGACGCTAGATCTTCCACCGCAAGGCTCCCGCACTTCAGAAACACCACAGTCACTGCTACTGCCGCTGTTAGCGGGATTCTACAGGGCTGCACACAACATCGGCGGGATACGTCAGGGCCTATAAAAGCGGATTTAATATTGAATGCTCATGCGATGACGATGCGAGAGTTAGAAAGCGTCGATCCGAGTTCAAGTCTCTCTGCATTTTATGTCTACGAACTCGCCGCTGGTTTTCTTAGCTAGGCATTTACAGTTCGGAAGGGAAAGGGAGAGGGAGAGAAAAAGGAGAAGATTAACCAAAAGCGGACACATTTCCCCCCCCCCCCCATTGTCCGCATCCCCTCGTCACTTTACCCACTATACCGACAAATCCAACTCCAACAATAACCAACACTCCGCAACCTGCCCCCTATACTTACCATCCCATTTCATCAAAACCCCATATCCATTCACAAAGAACGAGGAATTCCCTAAACCTCGCACGTAACCTAGGTCCAAGAATCTGCCTGCTGAACCTATGGGGATGTATGTTGCTCAACAGCAACGAGACCTTCCCCATTCGGATGGCGAGTCCGACCTTCAGCCTCGTTCTGGGATTCTGAGGTTAACAATAGGTGACCGCAATGATACTGTTATTCGACGAGCGCAAAACCAGAAGGTGGAGAGGGCGCTTGGATAGGGTGGAGCAACCCAAGCTGGCCGGGACGGAAGGCCCAATTGATCAGATGGGGGAGTTGGAGGAAGTGGAACGACGACGGCGGCTGCAGCTGGTTGCAGAGTGAGCGAGAGTGTGGCTCTTTTGATGCTGAGGAATAAGCCTGGAGAAGAAGGTGTAAGGCGCATTGTCGGGAAGGTCGTTGTGCCGAGTAGCCTGACGATGACTGCTTCCTCGCCGAACTGTGGCTTTAAGCCTAAGTCTAAATCCAAGTCTCAATCCGCAGCTAAAAACCCCAACACTACAACCAAACACACCGTCCACAGCCCAAGAATCTCAGAAACCGTAATCCTCGACTTCGAAGACTACTTCCTAGCCACCCATCTCTGCACCTCCTACAACCGCCTCGCAGGTCCCTGGCTCCTACATAAGCTCTCCGCTCGCCAACTCCAATCCATAAAACTCGGTCGTATAAATCTCTAGAGCGGACTTGGACACAGACAACGATATTCAGAGTCTGCGGCTAGACTGCTGCTCCAGCTTGAGGAGGCTGGGGATGTAAGGGGGTTAGATTTGGAGAGTAGGAGTAGGGGAGGAGTGGGTATGAAGAATTTATTTACGGAGAAGGAGTTGTGGGATTTGTATAACTGCCTTAGGTGTGGGAAAGTGAGGTATATGTGGGTGTATTGGGTAAGGAGGGTGGCTGCTAGTAATGTGTCTTCGTCTCTGGAGCCTCAGCACACAGAGGGAAGGATGAGGGGCGAGGGTAAAGGCAAGAATATTAACACCCCGACCCTATCGCCACTCCACTACCAATCACATTTCCAGCCACACTCCCTCCCAGACACCCTGATAGCCATTCAATTCACCCATTCCTGGTCCCTCTCACGAATCCTCATCTTTCTCACCCTAAACCTCCCCCTCAGCATCCCAGCATCTCTTCTCTGCAGCTTCCTAGGCTTGAGCTCCTTTCGTCGCGCAGGCGACAGACTAGGCCCCGGGACATTGGTTGGGACACTCGTGTTAGCGCTGAAGATGCTGTGTTTTGGGGCTTTGGTTTGGGCAGGATGGCTGACTGAAGGAAGAAAGGTTAGTGGGATGCTATGGAAGTTCCGTAAGACAATCATAGGTGCTTCGGCAGTAGACCATGGAGACGCATTCGAGAACCTCTAGGGGAAGGTGAAAGGAAACCAGATGTTAACTTCTACATTACAGGAAGTGGACTTGATATACTACTTCGTAGCCCCAATGGATACTTCTGCGCAATTAAGCCCTGTGAGCTAGCATGCCGTCTTATCCTTTAGTCCCCGTTCTCCAAAACAGCAATATATCATTAATAGCCATAACCCCCCATAGGCAAGCCAGAAATACCAAACACAGTCCCAGGCGCGCCACGCGAATACAAAGCTTGTTTGTGTTCCAGACTCTCCAGTGTCTTCGACACCACCTTCTCCTCCGGAAACCAAGGCATTGGCTTAGGCTTACACCTAAGGCACATGCATCCCATAACGTGCGGCTGGAGGTCATCTGGCAGCTCGGTCGTCGCTGTGCAGGCTACGCACAGACAACCCTCAACATGGTGATGTTCCGCATGGTGTCGCGCTCTAGATTCTGGTTCCAGGTCGCCGCTCCCACGACTATCGCCGCTTCCGTCCTTCCTGTGGCCTGCATCGACCGATTTGTACTGGTGAGCGATGATGGCTTCCTCGCGATCAACGAACTGCCTGTAGCATTGCTCACAGCGCTTGCACAGCTGACAGAACTCCTTATGCTCTAGGTATGACGGTTTGTGCGCCGTCCCCTTGATCATCGATATCACGCTGTGACCCGAGGACCATGACTTAGCGGTGCGGATGGACATGTTGGAGCTCAAACTCGTGGCCGAACGGCGTGATTGCATGCTTGAATGGTGCTTTTCGGCCTGGTGGCGTTTACAAAGTTTGTCCGCCGTGCCGCCCTCGCTACCTTCCGTGAAGTGCTTTTTGGCCCGTGGATTCCGGCTGTGGAGTTGCTTATGTGTCACATGTTGCTGGTGTCCGTACGATCGTCCCGTGGCTTTGGTAGAAACCGTCTCTATTGATGCTCGGGGCGTGCCGGCTGTGGGAGGTGGTCCACCGCGAGAAGGGACTGCGAGTCTGTTTGTCATAGATGGGGGGCTTTCCATGGCCGAATGAGGAGGCTCTATGGAATTAGAGTAAGCAGATGTACGTTTACATTGATAGGAAGTATTGGAGTAGGGGCACAGTCATTGTCTTTACCTGTAAACACAATACCCCCCGCGTGGATCGTGGTATCAGAATCTTCGGAACTCTCTGGTGATCGATCGGCTGTCGCTTTGCGCTCAATGACAATATTTGGGATTCCAAGCTCAGGGTTTCGACCAGAAGGCACTCGCGCGAGGTTTGTTTCCGTGAGGCTGTAGGCTCCGGGAGTAGGGCTGAAGTTGCCTTCATCTTCCTGTATAGGATCGAGGGACTGCACCATGTCGGAAGGTGTCTCCTTCACCTCCTGGCGACATGCAGGGCAACTGGCTATCGAGATGGGCGGTGTCGCATTTGTCCCTGTTTGTGATGTATTCCGACTCTTCGACTGCTCGCTGGACTGTGAGGGCTTCTCCAGGCTCTCGGGCTTCGAGTGCATAGGCAATGATGCTTTTGGGTGGAATGTCTTTGGCTCTAACTGATGCCCAACACGCCAGACGTCGTGCAGGAACAGTGAGGCATGATAGACTCCCGGGATCCACCCCATGGAGGTGTAGGCTATGTTGTATCGCATATCTCGCCAGCGAGCGCGGTTCGGAAGACCGCAGAAGACAAATAAGAGAGGCGGACAGAAGATAGCAGCGGTCTGGAAGATGATGTAGTGTATGACCTCGAGCTGCTCTCCAGTGCCGAACTGGATTTCTGGCGGTAGCACGCCGTATTGCACGTAGACGGTCGGCATGGGGATATGTGCAGTGAGGGAGAGAGAGGGAGAAGAAGAGAAAGGTGGGAAAATGGCCTACCATCGGCATGTTTCTTGGCAGTCCTTGAGGTCGTAACTTCCTGACATTCTAGTAAGGAGTTGGGCGGAAATGGGTGATAGTAATGCAGAACCTGTAGGTCGTGACTACCATGGGGGACGTGAAATGTCTTCCACCCCTTTCTCTGGCTAATACCAGGTAAGAAGAAGCAATAGGATGTCCATTCCGCTTATCATTCGACCTTTTCCGCACACCAACATATTGCATGCAAAATGGCATTAAACATTGCCTATTCCTGACCGCTTATACATTATGCGATATGGCGGTGTATGATAATAATATACTGTGTCCATGTTTGCGCGTAGTACTGCTGGAGCAGTGTTTCTCCTGGGCTAAATTCTGTTCCCTAATTTGGAGACGTCTTGTATTTAAGGACCCATTTCATTATTTTTCACTAGCTTATACAGCTCCTATCCCTAGACCAAAAATGTAGCTGTTTCCGCGATGGAATCTATTTGGAATATATCTCTTTCTTCATTCTCCTAGGTATTTGCCCATTAACATGCCATTGGTTTTTGGGTATTTTAAGAGGGTTTGTGGCAAAATATGAGAGTACCAATACTTTTGCTTTCTTTTAATCTCTTCTGCGCCCCTTCTAAATGCAACTTATACAAGATAGTGTTGTCTGAGGATGTTGCAGGTTCGAAGTTGCCGTAGGACCTTGCTGTTGATGCGGCTACTGTTGGCCCGGGCACGCTAAACCCAAAATTACTAGCTTGAAAGCATGAGCCCAAACTTACCCAGCAACAGCAAACCTCAGATTCCCAACCCCCCCACCCATAGCTGCCCATTCCGCCTTGGAGATGGGCAACACTTCCTCACAAATGGAACCAAAATCTGTAACTTCCTCTCAAAGCCCATGTAGCTCTCCTTTGCCTGACCCTTTTACCTCTATCACGTCGGAGAACGCGCCTATGACTCAACGCGTTCCTTCACTTCCAGCCAAAGATATGAGCCCCATAGCCAAAGAAGCTCTAGGCGGTAAGAAGCGCTGGGTCAGGAAGAGCGGGGTGGGCGAGGATGAGCAGATGGGCGCCGAGAAAGCGCTCCAAGACACCCGTGACTTGGGAAGCCCACCGGACCTTCGTAGCCGGGGCGAATACACCTCCGATGAACAAGAACTCCTGCGAAGAGCTATCACTGCATACATGAAACGATTCCAGCTAGATACGGAGGAGCTTGTTGCAACTCTCGAGTACACAATTCCCACTAAATATTCCGAGGAGCGTGATGATGACCACGACGAGGAGAGGCGAAAGAAAGCCCATATCCGTGCATTCTGGAAGGAAATGCACGATATTCTGCCCGCACGTACCAGCACATCTGTTCAGCGGTTTGTCCGGCGTCGCTACAATGGCTACAAGAATGCTGCAGGTCGGTGGACCCAGAAGGAAGACGATCTCTTGAAGAGTTTCGAAGAGTCATTCCCCAAGCAATGGACAAAGATCTCGAAGCTCTTGGGTACTCGGTCTGCTGGCGACTGCTATGACCGCTGGCGGAACTACATCCAGTACGGTGAGAACTTGAAGACTTCTCGCTGGACGCAAGACGAGGAAGAGATGTTAAGACAGGCTGTTTCGGACGTCGTCGACTTGCTCACATATGAGCACGCTAGCGAAGGGAAGACACTTCGTGGATACGATGTCATGAATGATATCAATTGGCATACCGTCAGCCAGAAGATGGGAGCTACGCGGAGTCGTCTACAATGCTTATCTAAATGGAAGCAATTACAGACCAAAGAAGGAGCTGGCCTGATTTTTCCCAAGCACCAACCCAAGGAAAAATCGGGCAAGAAAATCAAGAAGAAACAAGAGGGGAGTGCTGAGGGCAAGACCGAGATTGACGAGGTGCAGAGCTTGGCAAACGGGAAGAAGAGGAAGGCAGGAAAGGATCTGAGGGCTTCAGGGAAGGCCAAAAAGGCTAAACGGGAAGAGGGCAAGTCGAATGAGTTTATCTCTGCGAGTGATGATGAGTAGCTACCAAGTAGCAAGGGGACCTGTCTTTGCCCCTTGGCTGATTTCTGCACACCGCCCCTGAACTGTAGTGGTACATGGAGGGTTACATTTAATGCATTTTGACAGATTTTCACTAGTAGGAGGCTAGAGAGGTGATCCTAACTGTATCTTTGTTCTCTGGTAGTTAAACTTAATTGGCGATTTGAAATCACGTGATAGCGTGCGCAGGTTGAACAACTGACCTCGTTCCCTTGCCCAGCGAACCCCTTAGCTCTCGACATCTCTAATCCCCGTCCCCATCCACACAACGGGTAAAATAGAAACCGGGAACGTTAATTGTTCTCAGATCCGCCCATACACACCCCCAAATACCTCGATCACGCTTCCGGTCCGCGAGACTCCTTCAAGTCGACACTCCCACTCTCCAACCGCAGCGAGAGCGACCGACCATTTCGCTTCCTCTCCCTCCCCGCCGAACTGCGCCTGCACATCTACGAGATTCTCCTCTTCGATGCGGAGTCCTACATTATCTTGATCGCAACCTGTCACCCAGGCGTCTTCGCCGCTCGAAATCGCTGTACCCCACCAACCTTCGCGTTTGCAGAACTCTCTACGATGAAGCTCTACCTGTGTTATACGAAACCAATACCTTCCTGCTCAGAACGTTCCCGCTGAAATACTGTGTTCCGCAGCTCACGCCGTCCATCGGCTTTTCCAGTGCGGCCCTCATTCGACGCGTTTTCCTATACAGTGCTATAGCCGATTCCCTCCTACTCCTTATGAGGAGGCTAGGAGTGAAGCGCGAATGGTGGGACCACCTACCTAGGGGTGATAGAATTTGGGTCGTGAAGAGGGACGCTACGGCAAAGAGCGGGGTGAAAGGGTTGTGAGGTGCGAGGAAAGAAGGGATGTGGAGTTGCTGAGGTAATTCGGCGGGGATAGTTATGGTCCATCGTTTATCGGCTCTCACTAGTAATGCATGCCACTAGACTCCAACATAGTGCACTATCTCACACTCCCCTCATGCATACGCCTCGTTGTGCACTTCGCTCCTACTTAGCTCCCACCGTAGGTATTCGGGGCAAGCCGTAATATCCGCACCAATGCCACTTCAGCTTCGCTTGCTTCACCTCAACCAGAGTAATAGATACCTTGAAAATGCTGATATGGAGCTCAATACGAGCGGAGCGGTTTAGTGCAACGAAGAGTTTCCTGATCAAACGGGCCGTGGCCTGGTTCCCTCTGTCAGCGCAGTTGACCGGTGTCGTCTAACAATGGAACTGACTTGAACTGTTGTGCAGCGAATCTATCTTTGACGGCAGGAACAGGCGAGTGTTTCCCCAAAGCCTTGAGTTGAGCAAAAGATCAGTAACAGAAGGATCTATGAAAGGGTAAAAAGGATCCCGCCACATTCTCTTTTGGTGAAGCACTACCCCGGACTTCGGACTCGGTTCCTCCCCCAAACACACTCCCGGACTCCAACCCAACGTCGCACAAGTTTGAGGCCAGACTAGCCGTTGCGTGAAGCCAGTTCCCCTGAGGTGGATACAGGTGTCGCACATCCATTCTCGTATTTACATAGCACTTCACCAATCAGGATTATCAGATTGAAGGTTCCTGCACGACACTCCTTCGGACTTCGAAATAAATGAATTTGATGCACAACCACAGATCTTTTACTAATGCCGGCTTGCATTCTTATCAGCTTCATGACATGCATACAGAAACAGGTATAAGGCTTCGCAGGCCTGACATTCTACCAACCCCATAACCCTACAACTTTCCGCTCTAATTTGACCGTCATGATCGGAACGAGTCAGCAGGTATCCCAACTGACCGTCTTCTGGATATCATTTGTCTTCGCGACGATTCCTTTTGGAGGCCGTGTTTGGGCTCGTGAGATTACGCATACAAAATGGTCGCTCAATGATTATTTGATGCTTCTTGCATACGTACGTATGATCTTCTTACTTCCACTTTGAATTTTATAAGGCGCTGATGAGATCAAGGCTTCGACTGTAGGTTTGGTCGTTGTGTCGACTATTGGTGAGAGCACGTATATTGCATCAGAAGCAATATAATGAGCTAACACGATGGCAAGCGGATGTGAAAGGAGGAGTCGGGGCTCATTTGAAAGATATCCCTCGCAAAAACCTCCACACTGCCCTGGTGATTGATCTGAAGGTTTGTCTGTCCTCCTCTTGCCCTAATTCCTCTTAGTTTCGGCCACTCATGCCTACCACGTAGGTCCTCGTAATAACTCCTGTCTTCATGGTCTCCGCCCTCACCTTTGTCAAAATGTCCATCACCCATCTCTACATCTCCCTCTTCCCCCAAGTCTGGCTCCGAATAACCTGTAAATTCCTCCTAATCCTACAATTAATGTTCTGGGCTGGTTTCGTCATCGCCGCGTTCCTAACATGTCGGCCTTTCGAATACCTCTGGAATAAGAAATTACCTGGGGGAGGCAAGTGCTTTGATATCCATATGTTCTGGCTAGGTGGGTCTATTGCTGCGCTTTTATTCGACTTGATGTGCGTCGGCTTGCCGATGCCGGTGCTATGGGGATTGAAGATGGGGATTGCGAAGAAGGTCAAGCTCACTGTGATGTTTGGTCTAGGATTTTTGTACGGTCATCCACTCTCCCCCCTTACAAACCACTCTCCGACCGACAGACTGGCTGACTCCAATCCCCTTGGATACGTAGGATTGTTGTAATAACAGCAACCCGCGTCTACTACGTTACCATCCTCGACTTCAACGACCTAACCTGGTCTTCTCCCCCGGCTGTCATCTTTACAGTCCTAGAAGCCGCCCTCGCAGTCCTAGCCGGTTGTTTACCGGTCATGAACCCCTGTTTCTCGCGAGCTTCCAACGCACTAAGATCGACGTTCGTGCCGTCTCAAAGATCAAAATCAACGGGGAAGTCAGATCAACAACCGCGCTCGCGATCCAGATCTGGGAGACTCTCGTTAGGGTTAAGGACGGTATCTGTGGGGAACTGGGGGAAGGGGCGAGGGAAGAAAGATGTGGATCCTTATCCCTTGACGGATATCCTTGTTTCTGGCGCAGGTCTTGTGGATCAGGAAGGGTTTCCGACGGAACGGTTGATGGCTTCGCCGGGGAGGCTTGCGACGGCAACAGTGAGGATAGGGACGGATTTGAGTATCAGAGTAGAGAGAGAGAGATGTGTTGATGTGGATGCAGCGAACCCGAAATATTCACGTAATGGATAGATAGATAGTATTATGTTTGTATGACAAAGGGAATGGTTCAAATATCCTGAGGTGTTTTTTTTTTTTTAGCACTGCTAGGTCACTACCAAGGCTATCTATTTCCTTCCACCGGATAGCGATGATGCAAAATACCGCACTCAGTTACCAAACTAGAACCAGCTTGCCGACTCTGCCCCACAATGGCCCGTGATTGTATAGATGTTAGGGGCATGGACAATGGTGGTAGTGAAACGATTCAGGGCCGGTCATGTGATTGAACGCTAGGACATGGCTGCTGGGTATTCGAGGGAAGGAAGAGAGCGTGAGAAAGTAAGCTGAGTATTTCCGAAAGCAAAATTCATTGATCCTACACTTCGTGAGAAGAGATCTTCGCCTAATCTACCGTAAAAACCCTAACACCCATTCACTCCTCCACCCCTTGAGAACCTTACCTACTATCCCAGTTTCCCACGCCTGGCCCAAAGTCTTCCCCTAAACAACCCCCTACACAATCAAATACAAGCTCGTAATCAAACTCGGTCCAATAAAGAGTCCCATCCAAAAGATAATATTCCCCAAAGTGTCCCTCCCCTTCATGATCCTCGTCCTACTCATCGCCGCCAGTGGAATCTGACTCAACTGCAACGCAAACAAATACCCTCTCACCTTCTTAAAGAGACAAAACATCAGTATTTCGTGAACAACAGCACTAAGCAAGAACGTCACAAACGTGGCGCCCATCTTGGATAGATGGAACGCTGAGATAGAGGAGTGGTAGACGTGGCGGAGCAGGAAATTGTGAACAGGTCGATTCCAGTCCCGCGCATATTGATCCCAAGATATGCTGTTCCACCAATCGCCGTAGAAGCCGCGGTCCGCGAAGCATGTGAGCTCTGCGAGAACGTTGAGGAGACATTCCCAGATGACATACCAGGCGAGTAGTTGTTCGAGGAGGAGGGGGAATAGCATGTCTGACACGACCCATGGCAGTTCTTTCCAGCGCTGGTCGAGTGTCAAGCCTGCTTCCTTTTGCCGCACGACTTCGACGACAACGGGATAGAGGTAGGCTTGAGAGATGATAATCATGATCCAGATTACTCCGAGCGTAGCCGCGGCTTTCTCGGCGACGTACCACCAGTTTATGCGTTCTTGGCGGGGGTACTCGAGTTCGTAGACAAGAGTGGGGAGACAGGTCCAGTCAATCAAGTTGGTGAGGGTTAGGTTTTTAGGGTAGCAGTTGCCAGAGGTAGTGCATTTGCCTCGGAGTTCTTCGTCCAGAATTGTGATCTCGGTTTTGAGGACACGGTTGAAGGCTTGGATTTGTTCTGCGTTAAGAGGCTTACCGTCTTCGATAGCTTGAGCCATGGAAGCGATTTCGGAGTGTTCTTTGGAGAAGTTAGTGGAATACTTTGGGCCAATGCTACGGCGGTGATGCATATGAGTGTGTTGGCTAGCATCGTCTAGGCCTGAAGCCATTACGGCTTGCGCTTCTGCGGAGGTTGGTGACGGGCTTTCTTGTGCGTCCATTTCTTCAAGCTGTTCTAGCTTTTGGCCGAGTAGTGTTCTGCGCCGATAAACCCGCGATACTGGGTTTGGTCAGTGGATGATGGAAGAGGGAAGTGATAGTATACTTACGATAGCCATTGTAGAAAGCGTATGAGTGCTGCTTCATGAGCAACACAAACACGTGAAGAACGATGAAGACGGTATGCGTCCAGGACCATTCCCGATAAAAACTAACACTGATGACGCTAACAACGAAAAATATCTCCCACAAGGACTGAATGACCCATCCTGATCCACCCCAGGTGAGGTAGTTGTTCGCAATGGCCTTTTGGAGTAAGAAGCCAAAGCTAGTGGATAATGCCATAGCCCCATCAGTGAGTGAGAGGACAAACAGATCTCTATCTACCATGAGGTGCAATATTTCGGCTCTCCCAAACACGGAACCCTGGTTCTTCCAGTTCTGAGCAGCTATTTTGAGAAGCAACAGAGCCATTGCTAGCCAGAACAGGGTGAAGAAGCCATGGAAGGGCGACTGGGAGCCTCGTGGGTTCTGGCGATCAAATGTCGTGAATTGGCGGGTAAAGACGAGATCTCGGAAGCGATTGCGACTCTTTCCATTCAGAATGGCAGCCTCGCGCTCAATGCCAGACCGCATTATCTCACGAAACTCAGGGTCGTCCGTGGTGAGGGTGTACCTTCCCTTCTTGTCCGACTTCTCGATGATGACCTGGATACTCTTGCGCCTACCATTCCTGTCCTTCTGCCCGGGAATAGGACCCGTCGCTCGACTGCCATTGGAATCCAGATGAATGCCAGAATCGCTTGACATTGAAGCTGTTGAAGCTTCAGTTGTGCTCCTAGTCCCGCCATTCCCCGCTCTTCTAGCTTGTGGTACCTTCAATGTCCTTGTATCCTCGCCGTCCGACACCACCGGAGACGAATCAGGCGACCACGAGTCCTCACTCCCTCCGTGATTTCGATGGTTGGAAAGGCCGCTCAGTGCGTAAGCCATTGCAGACTTGCCGCCGGTGAGCGAGGAGACGTCAGGCTTCAAGCCATTCGCTTTGGGGGGGAAGGGGGAGTTGTCCACAGCCATGGTGAAGTGTACTAAGATGTACGGTCACAGAAGTACAACCGGGCTATGTGGCAAATATCAATGGGTATTAATGGGGTGATGGGTCACGGCGGATCATGAGATGGGAGCAGAAGGTTGAGCTGGGAGTTCCAAGGAACAGAGGCGGGGCTGAGAGAGAATGGTGGCATAGACATGATTCTTGTCGAGTGAGCAAGCAAGATATATGGTAAGAATGAGGTGGCTTAAGCTGGGGCACACGACCTCTATAAGCCGGAGGTTCCGACTTGAATTCAGCGTTCGTCCGTCGTTTGGTGAAGCTCGCGCGGAAGCTCGCGCGGAACTTTGCGGCGTGCATGCATCTGCATGCAATTGCCGATGCGAAGGGTGTGGCTGAATTAAGGTTGCGCCACAGTCACCAGCCACTCACGTGCTTGCTGGTGAGCCTAACCCAGGCATCGCTATTTAAAACACACTCAGCCCCCATTCGGAATGGAATGCGAAGATGGACCAATCCCCTCAACCCCCCTAGCCATCGTACTTCGCATTGCCCCCCTGCCCTCAGTGCGAAAAGCCCAGGACTCCCCCGGACTGGCGGAGAATCCTGTCTCCTGACCGACCACCCACAGCTTCAATATGTCACGACAAGGCTTCATCGCTGCAGCCTTTGCTTCAGCCTCCCTTAATTCTGCTCTGACCGACACGGACTGGGAGATCAGGAGCCACTGAGCTTTCGCAAAGAACGCCTCATCAGCTTGGCAGAACCTTCAACCTTGAGCCAATTCGTCTCTGATTCGACCATGGAATGAGGATACGAGCAAGGCGGGACAGCAAGAGGTCAAGGCGTTAAAAATAGGTGAACTCAAGCGACCATAAATGAAGATGAGGCTGCTGTTCAATAATGCGTGGTTTTCGTCGCATCAACCTTCTGTTGCAGCGTGTTTGGTCTAGAAGTCCACTCACTTTCGTCTTTTCTAAAGATTTTTATTTACTCTTCAACTAAATCTCAACGAGATAAAAATGGCTCCGAAAGGAGGCAAGGGAGGGGGAGGCGGTGGTGGTAAATCTGGTGGTGGAATCAGCGCGAGCTGTCCCGGCGCATTCAAAATGTCGTACCTATCAACTCCAATACCTTTTTTCGTGTCTTATTGTGTCTTTTTCCTGGTCATACTCTTCATTATGATTGGTATCGGAAAGGTGAAGAAGAACTATCCCCAATCGAGGAAACTGCTCGGTGGGGTATATGGCGTAGCACAGCTGTGCTTCCTCATGTAAGTCTAACACTCGTTCAAAGCACGCTTCACTAACGAGATCAAGTGGCTACGCTCTGATAATCATCGCAACCATGCTCAAGGAATGCGCAACCACGGACTACTCCTCCTACTTTTCATGGCAAATTGCATTCGGAATCTTCTTTAGGCTCGGCTACTTCATTCTCCTCGTCGTCTTCTTCTGGGGCGTCAACAGCCATTTAGCAGTACCTCTCGGCGGCACTCCTACCTACTATAAGATCATAAGCGGAGTTGTTCTGGGCTTTATTGGCATTCTAACTGTGGCTGTCACTGGTCTTTCTGCGTACAACAGCTGGACCGCAACAGACGCCGGGTCGAACGCAGAATCAGTTATCAGTCCTTTCAAAGGTCTTTTAGTCGCCTATTTGGTCTTCTTCCTTCTTTCTATCTTCGCTGGATTCGCGCTTATGGTCGTTTCCATTTCTCAAATGCGCTCAAAAGGCATACCCACCCATGTAAGCACTCTCCATTACCATTCAAAGTCTCTCGCTAACTGACAATGCAGGGACTCATGGGATGGGCCGGTTTTGCCACCTTTTGCATGTTCATCTGGGTCCTCTTCTATCTGGTCGAAGCCATTGCAGCCGTCATGGACAAATACTTCGACCAGGGGAAGGCCTGGGACCAGCAGCGCACATACCAAGCCTTTGAATACATCGAAGATCTCTTCCAAGCCCTCTCCTTCATCGCCATCCTCTGCATCGCAAAGCATCGAGCCTTTGCTAATCCTGCCGCTGCGGTCCCGCAGCCAATGTACAACGCCGCTCCGACATACCAGTCCGTTCCTCAACAGCCAGAATACCAGAAGGAAGCAGTCGCGCAGCAGCAACACGTTTACCAACATCAGCAGATGCCGAATGCTCAGAACCAGCAGTATCAATACTTGAATCCGGCAACAGGACAACCATATTATTATCAGCAGCAGCAGCAGCAGCAGCCGGTGTATAGTAACGCGGTGCCGATGAGTGCACCGAGTCCGGAGGTTACGAATTCGAAATAAGGCATGGTCTAAGAATTGGAAATACTTATGGGCCGTTGGATGGCGTCTCCTTTTCCGGCATCGTATTGGAATCGATCAACAATATATTGAAACTCCCTAGTGTTGGATCTTTAGTTGAACCTTCGATTAAGCTTCTCAGATGTATTTTTCTCAAGTGAAATGCTTCCAGTAGTCAGTCATTCGTTCAACCAGATACCCCCTTGGTAGAATATATCCTTTGTAATAGTAATTCTCCTGCAAAGCAACTGTACACACACCCAATCTGTCCTGCGTACTCTCCTACCTAGTCAGCCCCTCTGATTCTTACCAACCTCCCTTCGGTCTCTCATGCCCATCTCTATTTCAACTCCCTCGTCTTCGGTCATTTTTCACTGTAATCCAACTCCTACGCGCGTTTCTAAATTGACGGAAGCTTGAGTCTTGTGGACCCATTGGCTCGCACCAAGTCTAGTCGCCCTCGGTCATTAGACTGAAAAAAAACTAAAACTTTCCGACCCCTGGAATATGTTGGAGCCGGCCATGTGCTGCCCTTGGACAAAGCGGAGACCGAGGAATTGTCCTAATCTGGACCTACGACTATGTTGAAGTCGGTATTTATATAAAGGTGCATATCAAGTATGCCTGTGGTACGCGTTTCGGGTTGGATATTAATTCTCCTGGTCGACACCCACTTTGTCTTCTCACAACCACTTTTGTCTTTAATTACGAAACCCTTTGACAATCGCGCGCTCATACCCCCCTTTCCTCGGTCTCTGTGAGACACTCAAGAATTTATTGATCTAATTTCGCATGGGCGGCTTGCCTCCGGAAGAAAAATATACTCTTGGAAGTGTATATACACATCCACTAGACCCTCTACCCCACGATCCTCCACAACAAAGTTCGCTCTTGTCATTCGTCATTAATAAGAGCGTGGAAGGGGTGCCTCCGGGATATCACTGCGCATCGCTTCCCTTTCCGCTTAGTGCGATGCATGGAGAAGTTTTTTCGCCCCACCACCGTCGGTGATGCATTGTTGCAATGTGTCACAGAATATTGGAAGGAGAGTGCATGTTAGTGGGGACTCCTGGTTGAAGGAAGAGGAAAATGGAACTGGGAAGAGGCCTAGGCCAAGAGGGTTTACGTACAGACACACTAGTTGTTAGCTCGATGAGCGAGCTCCATTGTTTCGTGGGTAGGGTTCAGAACAGATATTTTAGATATCAAACAGATAAAAGGTACTTAAAATGCAATAGCGAGGGGTTATCCGTACGCCGTTGTTGTGTTGAAATAAACTAGATCAGTCGGTAGCTTCGTCGGCATCTCCTCAGTTGTGAGGTCGAGGAAACGGTAAGGAGAGCCGCCACGAAGGTGTTGGGGAGACGCATGTTTGGCATAAAAGAAGATTCTGTTTAGTATTCTCAAGGTTTAGCGGGGAGTTCAAGGACTAATGTCGGAAAAAGCGAAATGATGGAGAGCAATCCTCAGGTGTCAGGCCGCCTTTTATACACTCAAACGGATGGTCTGGATCACCTGTATCTAAAACTTCCAACTACGCTGGATATTATAGCCGCCTGTTTCAAGCAAAAAGCCGAATGTTTCTTCCTTGGAGTAGAAACTTCACTACATATAGTCAAGAACAAGTTTGATTGAGACTGAGATCGTGGTCGACACTCGGTGCTGAATCCTGTAAACGAATCCTTCGCATACAGGGCAAATAAAGTCGTGACGCTTAGACCCACAGTCCGTATTAAATCTTAAGAGATATTGTGTTGAAATCCTTTCATTGAATCCTGCCTTGGCAGGAACTGAGGACTGACTGTTTAGCGAAGAAATCGGTGCGTTTGAAAAACAATAGCGGTTAGTGCTGCCTTGAAAGCTTGGAATTGTATATGGTTCAGATTACATGTTCAATCTAAGACGGTTGCGAAACCGGAAACGGCCATCATCCCGCGTCCAGAACCTTCATATCCAAAGCAAGATATTAAAGTACTTGCTCGAATCTGCACCTAGAATCGACAGAGCCCCTCCCCAAGAACAATCTTCCCAACATCTGCATCTCTCTCTCCCTCAACAACCCTCCGAAGCACCTTCCCTCCAATACTTGGATGCCCGCCACCCATCTCCTTAACCTTCTCCTTCATATTTCCAAGATTCGTCGCCAAAAAACCCGGTCCCACACACCAAACCTTAACCCCATCTTCCTTGAGTTTATGATTCCAGTCCAACATCAGCATATTGAGTGCAACTTTACTGCATCGGTATCCAATAGTCTCAAAGTCGATGTTCTTCGGCCATCCAGCTGGCTGTGGCGGCGTGGGGAAGTATTTCTCAGATGCTTGCGAGAGGTGGGATAGCCCGGCTACGAAGATTAGGCGGGGGTCGGAGGATTTGAGTAAGAGAGGGATGAAAGTCCAGGTTAAGACGTTTGTGCCTGCAAGGTTGACATCATAGGATTTGGTGAAGCATTCGCGGAGAGTGACGTTGCCGGCCAGGAATTCGATGTCGAATGTGGCGCCTGGAAATAGGGTTTAGTATCAGTTAGTCTCTGCGAGGGGTGCTGGGGTTTGGCCACACCAGCATTGTTCACGAGGACGTCAAGATATCCATGGCTATCCTTGACATGGTCGAAAAGTTCGCTGATTGACGAATCGCTAGTGAGGTCGAGCTGGACTGATTCAACTGCGTTTGTTGACTCAGGGCATTCCTCATGAAGACTCTGGACGGCAAGTGCGCCCTTTTCTAGCGAACGGCTAGCGAGGAGAATGTGGTAGGGTTTGTTGGACTCTAGTAATGCTTTGACGGCTTCATAGCCAATGCCACTGTTACCTCCAGTGATGAGAACGATCTTTGGGGTGGCCATAGTTGTTATTTGGAGGAAGTTTACTGAGATGTTGGTGTGATGCCGAGCTTGGAATGGGACTTGAGGGCTTGGGCATTCCGTTAGATCTTTATATAATATTCAATGTAAGAAGAATATTCATGACCTGAATGAAGAGTGGACTCTGATTCGAGCATCATTCGGGGTTAACATCTGGTGAATCCGAATAGTTCGGCGAAAGGGATGCAATGGCCGAAGGAGCCTAACACTTGCAATTTAGCTTTGATCGAGGAACTACAGCCATTGTGTTGAAGTCAGCGCGATGCCAGGGCCAGGGTCCGTCGCTCGCCAAGTGCTAGTACGGACTAAGGCTTGATTGGCGACTTACCGCCGCTTAAGGCTAGTGTCTCGTCAGGGTCGTGAGTTTTTCCAATTTGGGCAGGTAGTGTCCTTTGCATAGAAGACGCTGATCGGTAGATTGAGGCTGGATACTGATGATGAAGCTCTGTCATACTTTGCGGTTCCTAAAAGCCCTGCGGAGTACGGAAAGTTTCCTACCCAGGTTCCGAAGCACTCCGAAAAGAGATGAATACGGTGACCCCCGTATCGTGGTGATTCGAATTCTATTTTGCGTCGGGAATTGTCCAAGTCTTCATAGAGAGAGATGTTATTGTGAGTAGCTTAAGGATACAGTGATGCGATTGAGTTAGGCAGGAAAAGGCATCGGAATCTCCCCTTTCTTTGTCCCAGAGGTTTCCAGCCCTTCAAAGAAGCACCCAAACACTTGTGCATACTCCGAAGGCCTTTTCATCAATCTGGGTTCTTCGGAAATCCACTTGAGGATAAAGGAAGGGTGGAAACTTTCTACTTCGCCAAACCCATGACTTATTGGCACGAGAAGATGTTACGAAAGGTAGTTCTGTAGATTGAAGATAGCTTTGATTATTTTATTTATAGCTTTTCAATTGACTCTGTGCGTGGAGTATAAGAAGTATTAGAAAGCATGAGGATGAAATAGAGTCATCACGGGATCCATGCGGTAATTCGTGAAGTAGCAGGACGTGTCAGACCCACTTTTCTTTCTATTCCTACCTTTGACGCCCTATTCACCCTTTAACCAACGATTGACTTCATCTATAGCCATAAATTCTTCCCCTATACTCTCAGTCTCCCCCAAGATGTCTACCGCGCGAAGGGTCGAGAAAGTGTACGCAGTGTAGAGTCAATACAGGCATTTTTTTATTTTTATGTAATGCTATCTTCTATGTTGAATTTAAAATATAATCGAGGATTGTTGCAACTTTCGCGAATCATTACGACGATGAGCTTAGATCATTTAAGGGATCAATTCCTAGGCAGGCCGAAACTCCAGCGTTGAGATGTTGGTTTTAAAGATGTGGGCAGCATGGCAGGTTAACGAGTGGTCCCATTCTTTATAAGCGCGTGGAAATGCCGGTCGTTTCTGGGGCTGACCAGGTTTGAGCGAATAGTGGATACCTTCTATCCACTAGGTACCGAATCCGAGATGTTATTTCTGACATTCGAATTCATTCGAGCAGTTAGAAGGATGACGTAACCTTGAGCTTTTGGATACTGTGGGCAATTTTGGTATCAATTTGACACCGAGGGGCCTCTAGATCATGTGAATCATCACTGTGAGTCGTGAGGTACCTCAGCAAGCGATTACGCGACATCAAACTAAAAGGTACTGTCGCATCTTGATGTACTGGAAGTTTTATCCGTTGTACTGCCTGATTTGGAAGCCTTTGGCGTGTTGCCGATGTCCGGAAAAGGGTTATTCCCGCCGAAATGTGCCACACATTACCCTACTTTCTAGCCGCCTCGAGACTAGCGTTTTCCTTTCTCAGCTCGCTTTCCCTCCTTTTCGAGCAGCTAAACTCAATTCTATCCCAACCCACCCTCATTTGTCTTTTATTTAGCTGAATCATATCACAAGAGTGACTTGTATTGTATAAATTGCGTGCAACCACCAACTTATTTAGATACAGTAATAGCCTTCTTACTACTACTCTGCTATAACATGAAAGGGACCGAAGCTCAAGTCAGTCCTTCTTGACACAACTAGAAGCTCCCCCACCCATCTCTAGAGAGCACCCTTTGCGGTAGCATATTTTAGACCGCTGCGAAAATATGAACTTGATATCAGTCTTTCATCACCTCAACCCTCTCAAAAACAAGCAACCCCTTCCCCCCTTTCGGCGCAATGACAAAATGATCACGCATCCGCATATTCTGATGCGTCCGTTCACTTTCCACTCTAACCTTGAACTCACTCATCACTCTCGCAGCCATAATCTTGATTTCCATGGTCGCCATATTCTGGCCCGCACAATTGTGCTCCCCGCCACCCCAGATGAACGTGTGCGCCTGCATTTCGGAACTCGCAACGAAGGTATTCGAGGAAGTGAGCCAGCGACTAGGATTGAAAGAGTCAGGAATGGGGAAGACGGAGGGGTCGCGCTGAAGCGTGAGAGTCGGGGTATGAACAGTCATCTAATACACGCTTGTCAGGTGCCTGTCTTGAAACTCAACGATTTGGAGCGGCTCCTTACATTCCCCGGAACAAAAATGTTATCGATCTGCAGTCCCCCAGGTGGTGTGATCCGCGGAAGACCAACCCCAGCTCCGGGATGAAGTCTTAAAGTTTCATACATGCAAGCATGCAATACCTGTAGTTGTTGTATCTGCTGGTACGGGAAGTCTTTCTCTCGGATCTCCGCAATTATTAACTCCTCTCGGAGTCTGCCTTGCCATATAGGATTCGATGCTAATTCATAGAGGAAGTACGCCATTACGACTCCGGTGGTGTCGACAGCTGCGTAAATGAAATTACTGACTTCGTCCGCAATATTCTGGTCTGGCAGAGGGAGCGTTCCTTTTTCGGGGTCGCCAGCGATGAGTTTGGTCATGATATTCCTTCGTGGTGAATGACGACCGAATTTGGCAATTGAATCTCGCATTTGTTGTTCACCGTACTACTCAAAAGTCAACCCCAAAGACTAGTAAAAGTGAATGCACGCCTGCTTACACCGTAGATATAATGGACTGATCCTGTGAAGTCTTTCACTTTCTTGATAGGAAGCATCCGTAGAAAAGCCCCTAGCCACGGTACTTCTCGATCAATTGAGAACATCGGATGGACATAGTTCATAACCGTTACATAATACGGAGGGTCCGCTGCACCCAGTGCATTGAAACATTGACCGAGGAGAATTTCGCCTACCACTTTATCAGCACAGCTAGCGGGACGGTGAACTGTAATTCCAAGGTGACAGTACCACTAATATCCAGAGCCAGCATCCTCATCGGCTTAACAACATCAAAAGGCCGACCCCCACATTCCCCCAGAATTCTAGTCAAATTCGCGATTTGCGCCTGAACAGCAGGCTCCAGCTCTTTCAGCACATTCATCGCAAACACATGAGCCACTCGATTCCTCCTTTCCCGATGCTGTTCCTTATCCCGCATGCCAAATACCCCCGGACGGCCCATGGACTCATAGATCGGAGATTTCATGCATTTCGTCATTGGAGAATAGATATCCTTGAGTGCTTTCCCGGAAGAGAATGAGATTTCGCGCGGACCGATCTGAACGACAGGGCCGTGTTTGAGATGAAGCGCGTGCACGGCGTTCATCTGGTTACCGCGCGCAAAGTTCACGAGAAGCCATTTTGATGTGAGTTTTGCTAGAATCGGACCTGGAAGATGGAGATGGTGAAGGGCTAAGTAGTTCTTTATCAGGCGATTTAGGAGGCATAAAGTGAGAGCTGTGAAGCCAGCAAGGAGGTAGATCTGAGCAGAAGGCATTGGTAAACGTGGCAAGAGGACGAAAGGTACCAAAGAGTCTCCCCTACTTGGTTAGTTGTTTTGGTTCGTTCATCTAAGGGCGTTGAGAGATGCCCAAGTCATGGAGGGGCAAGAATGCCATCGCGTAGATTTACCATCTGCGAACATGCTGCAGATACGGATGCAGGGATTTCTGGGAAAGGGGAGCGGGGTAACACATCAGTTCCTCGCTTTCGAGCGATAGTAGCTAGGGAAAAAATAGTTGCCCATTGGGGGACCAATGAAGATGCAGTGGATATTGAAAATAGCGGCTGGTACTATTTCAGCCAAAAAAGCTAACTCCTCCCTGGGTAGTGGAAAGCCCTGCGTCCGGGAATAAGTTAGAGATACTTTGATTGCGAAGCAACCTAGGGCCTGTCCACACCACACTATTATTTCTCCAAGAATATTACCAGAATTACACAAAATTAGCAATTCCGCTATCTTAGCTTGTCATTAGTTTAAAATTAAGACAGTAAATTCTTTAGTTAATGTAGTTCTGACGATGCTTAAGTGGCAATCTTCATCACGTAGGTCTATTAACCATTCTTGTCACATGATCTCGAGGGTGCTTCGAAGCTTCGCAGTAGCAAATGAGTCAGCTATATATTCACGTTAATCCTCAGACATCTCTGTGAAATAGAGGTAATAAAAATATAGCATAGAAAGTTATCTCTATATAAATCTCCAAAGACTCGGAATGCATTCGGTTCAACTCGGCATATCTATACTTCCGGTTCCAACCCCAACGCCAATCATATTCCTAACACCGCTAAGCATGACGGCCGATAGCCTGAGAGTAACCACACTAGGTTCTCGAAGTTGTGGTTATCCATACGCTGTCCGAGCTTAGAGCTAGACTTTGATATTGAGGATTGTAAGGTTCTGTTCGTGAACTTGATGGAGCACTAATGTTGATAGTGCTAATTCCAGTATAAAGATATGAGTCAGAGATATCAAATGAAATGCGGTAGAGTACCTTGCTAACCCCGAGCGTCTGGAGGCATTCGCGGTTGCTAGCGTCTCAGGCCTTGACCTTACGGTCACCTGACGCTGACGCGAGCCGGGCCGAGTTATGGAAGGCCACCGGGTTGACCCAACCGCTATGAGCACCTGGAGGCATGAGCCGCTGCTGGCGTCCCAGACCTTGACCGTATAATTGTGCGACGCGGACGCGAGCCAGGCCGAGTCGTGGGAGAAGACCATCGACTTGACCCAACTGCTATGGCCCTCGAGCGTCTGGAGACACTCACCGCTGCTGGCGTCCCAGACCTTGATCGTATGGTCACTCGATGCGGACGCGAGCCGGCCGAGCCGTGGGAGAAGGCCATCTAGCGTCTGTAGGCAAGTACTCCATCCGTCCTGTATAGCCGGCTTAATTGTCACCCAATTAGGCACTTCTCGGCTGAAAAAGAGTCTAATTAAGCTGCATGCTAGACTGAACAGGAGCGCGGATATATATGCCTGAAGTAGGCTGCTCTCGATTGCTCCCTTGTGGTACATAATGCTTGTGTGTAAACCTCTGTGTGTAAACATCTAGATATTCCTCTTTTTCTTTGTATAAAGAAAAAGACAGAGCAATAAAACTAGAAACATGTTGCCTCCACCCTACCTACTTTGTACGCTGTACACACTGTACACTACTCTTACTCTTACTACTTAAGTGCTTATACTATAAGCATCTAGATAAAAGAGCCTATTTAACATTTATAAAAATTCTAAAGTAATTTAAAGCTAGTTTAGCCTTATAAAGAATATTAAAGCTAAGTTTAGTATTTAAAATAATAACACATATAACTTTAATAAAATAAGCTTTAACGTACTTTACAGGCAAGTTGCTTACACACCTAAGTTACTTACTTTTACTAAGACCTTACTACACTACTTTTTCTACACTAATGCATTTCTAATAATACTACTTAAACATATTAAAGAAATATTAAATGCAGCTTATACTTTAAACTTTTAAATAAAATATAACACTTTTTAAGTAACATACTATAGCTATTTATAAAGTTTTTTAAAAGATAATAAGTAACTAATACACTAAATAACTTTTTTAAGCTAATTATATAGCTAACTTATAAAAGCTAGATAATAATAAAAAGTAGGTAATTATTTAGCATATACTTAAGCTAAATATGTAAGAATTTTCTCTTTAGCTAGTAGCTATAGCTAATATAGCTAATTCTTTACATACTAAGTATAATATAAGCTATATTAGTATAAACTAGCTTAATATATTTATTAAGTATTACTTAAAGCTTAACGTAAAGTTTAACTATAAGTATAACTATAAAAAAGCTTTTTATAAAGATTTTATAGTAATTTAAAGCTAAGTATAGCATCTACATATATAACTTTAATAAAATAAAGTTTATAATAAGCTAAATATTTATTAGAGTAGTTATTATAAGTTTAGAGAGATAAGAATAGCTAAAAGTAGTCTAGCTAGGTAACTAGAAGTAGATAACAGCTATTTAAGGCATTAATGCTAAAAAGTAAGCTATTTTACCTTTTATTATTTTTTAAAGTAGTAATTACTTTTTAAACTAGTATAAAAAAAATCTACTTTAAAATTAAGTTATTATAGTCTTTAAGCACAGCTAAACTACTAATTAGCTTAGTCTAGACTAGTTAAAGCACTTTAATGCGCATATAAAAAAGTGTACTATTAGCAGCTACTATCTACTAGTTATTAATAGCTATAAAAGCTATAACTTACTTTATTTTTAGTAATACTATAAAAATAATAAAATTATTACTATTTATATACTTTTTTATTTATTACACTTTTTATAGCTACTGTAACGATTCTCATGAATCGTTCCATCTCAGGTCGCCTGGAACCTATCCGAAGGGTCTCTGTATCGGCTCCGACCCTGGTTCGACCCTGACTTGACTCTGCCTGGCCCCCTGCTGTTACCCCTATTCCCTTATGTATTTAGTCGCACCTCGCCCTGTAGCTAGCTTGGTAGTTTTCTGATATCCTTTTGTACAAGGCCTATAGGTGTCAATGGCATTCCCAGGTTCAGAGTCCCCACGCACTCCCATATGCCTCTGAGTGGATTCCCTCCGCATTCGGACCCATTGTCTTGCCTGCGCCGTTACAGCTACTTAATGTAAGTTGTTTTACTTTTTTTAAAAAAGTGTATAAGTGCTAAGCTAAAAACCTTATATGTAACTAAATTACTTATATTATAAAAATAAAGTTTTTACTATGCTTTAAAGTAGCTTATAATACTATAATTACTTTTAGTAATATCTAAGAAAAGTTTTAAAAAGCTAAATTAGTTTCTTTTAACTTATAATAAGTTATAATAGGCTTTAATATAAAGTTATGCACTTTATTACTACTACTTATACATAATAAGCTTTAGTAGTTGTAAACTTTAAGTAATACTTTAAAACTTAAGTTATAATTAATACTTATAAAAATAAAAATTTAAAAGTATATAAATAGTTTACTAACTTTTATAGTTAAAGTGTTTAAAAAAGTGTTTAAAAAAGTAGTAATAATTATATATAAGCTAGTGTTAGTATAATAAAAAATTACTAAGCTTTAAAAAGCTAATAAGGCTACTATATAATGTAAATTATATAAAAAAAAGTAAATTAAAGTAAAAAAAACTTTAATAATTTAAAAAAGCTTATACTTAATAGCTCTAAAGAAGTTTAAAGCGCATAGTAATAAAAAGAAAGTAAAAAAGCAGGTGTAAGCTAAAGTAGGTAAGCTATTCTAAAGGCGCTGCAAATAGTGCAATTAGACTAGGCATAACACACAAATGTGTAAGTAAGAAGTAAAAGTAGTATCTAAATAATATTCTAGGCTGTACTGTACTATATAGTGCTAGAGCGGGTTGTTATAGGCTATAATAGAGTTTATTAGAGTGGTGTTAAATAGGCTCTAACAGCTAGCTGCTTATAGTATGAGCGCTTAAGTAGCAAGAGTAAGAGTGGTGTACGGTGTGCACAGCGTACGAGGTAGGTGTAACGATTCTCATGAATCGTTCCATCTCGGGCGTCCCGGAACCTCCGGAAGGCCCCTGTATCGTCCCCGACCCCGACCTGGCCCTAACCCCTGCTGTTACCCCTATTCCCTTATGTATTTAGTTATACCTTGCCCCCCTGTAGCTAGCTTAGTAGTTTTCTAATATCCTTTTGTACAAGGCCTATAAGTGTTAATAGCATTCTGTTACGGTCTACGGTTGGACCAGCGTAACTCCACCCAGGATGCTCCACAATATGGTACGGTTGGAGCAGGACTCGCTTACGAACCAAACGGAGGACGCGGAGTCGCGCAGCTACCCGAGATCATGGAAGAATGCGTCGTCCAATAAGAAGATAGGACGCAAATCCCACAAGTCTAGACAAGCTTAGTAAGCCCTGCTTAGCAGGCTTAAGTAAACTTATCTAGCTCGCCCTAGCGTCCCCTACACATGTATATAGTTCCTACATTAAATAACCTTTAGAAAGTGTGTTTAACATTTAGTTTATTTTTTATATAGACTAAGTAGCATTTAGCTTTTTAAAGAGCTATAATACTATTTATATATCTTACACTACATATACCTCTAACCTTGTCTGCAAGGACTGTTTAACCCTAGCCTCCCTACTGCTGCACATAGGGCAAACTATAATCTAGTCACTCTCCCTCTCTCTATTAGCCTAATAGCCTGTACATAGGACTGTACACTCTACTAGATTAGCCCCTATTATCTGTCTTACTCCCTACCTAGGAACATTATTAGACCTAAGTGCTTTATAAAGCAAGAATTATAACATTAAACACTACTTTTTTAAAAAGTATAGCAACCTCACAACATAACTTAGATTCTAATATAGCCTATGCTGCGCTATTAGGATTTATAGAAGTTCCTACCTAAAGTAAAGCTGTCTTAGCAGAACAGATTAACTTAATCTAGGACAACATTAAAAAACTCTAGCAGATTAGTAATAAAGTTAGCAAATTATTAAAACTTAAGTAAAAGATTACTAACTTTTACTAGAAAAATATAAACTTACAAAACCCCCTATCTCTTACTAACCCCTATAAGGACACCTTCTAAGCCTGCTAAATACATAAGTTATAAGTAAAACTAGTAAAGGTTTAGAATATCTTAATAAATAGAGTAAGTGTTGCAGCTAAGAAGGCTTTAAAACTAGCCTTTTTTAAGCCTTTTAAAAAATTATTAAAGGACCTCTAACTATTCTTTACTAAATGCCACTTTTATATGCAATATAATAAAGAAGCATTTTAGACTAACACAGAAATAATCTTCTAAATAGGACTATACTTAAAAGGCCCCCCTGCAATCTAGTTCTAACTCTACGCTAATAATTAGATAGACTTTAAAGCTAACAGCACACTACTTAACTTTAAGACTAAAGAAGTATTTAGCAGCGTTAAAAACTTTAAATTAGCTCTATTAGCTATCTATAAGACCCTAGACAAAAAAAAAATTATAGCTAATAGACTAAATAACATAAGGCAAGAAAGTAGACTAGTCTAAAACTATGCAGCACGCTTTAGAGAATAAATAGCTATCTATAGATAGAATAACTAAAAAACCCTATGCCACATGTTTTATAACAGACTAAATAATAAAGTAAAAAATAAGTTTATGCATATAAACTAACTAACTACTTTTAAAAATTATATTAAAAAAGCAACTACTTATAACAACTACTATAAAAAACACAAAAGAGAAAAGAAATTAAAGAGAACCTTTTAGAAGCTAGAATTTGTCCCTAAAAAGAAAAAGCTTCTCTAATATAATAAAAAGCTAATAGACCTTAGTTATGTAAAGCATATATAAAGCCCTCTCTTAAAGAAAAACTAAGTTTTAAGACATAATAAGCTGCCTCTAATAAAGGAATAACAGAAGTAGTTAAAGAATAAGGCCTACCTAAACTATAAAAAAGTAAAACACTTCTGCTAAAACTGCCTAAACTTCTAGAAGGGGAAGAATAAAAATACTACTATAATAATAAAAGCTATTACTGCTAAATACAGCCTTATAAATAAAGAAATATAAGAAAGACTAAATAATAGACTTTACTAGTAATATAAAGAAAACTACTCTTTAAACAACTGCCCTAAAGTGTATTAAAAGGTAGTTATTTAAAACTTTAGTAGCTTTAATATAGTGTTATAAGACCTTATAATCTTTAAAGGATATAAAGAAGAGACTTAAATCTAAAGATATATTATAAATGTCTAAAAAAAAGAAAAGTGTTTCCCCCTCTATAACTAAACCTCTAGTACTTTAGTAAGAGAGCTTTTCTAACAGTTTTAAAGATGCAGATGCTAGAAGTGCAGGTTATAATATAACTACTTAAGTAATTATATAGTCTTGCTTTACTAGATAAACATTAGCAACAACTACTTAACATTTAACATTATATAAAGGATAGCTAAAGTTAAATATAACATTATAAATAAAAAAAAGTAATAGTAGTTTTTTACTAAGATTAAAGATTAAAAGCTAGAATAGTTAGGTAAA